TGGTGTGTTGTTTGAAAACAAAATTGAGTTTTTACTACTCAAGCAAGTTGAAACTTGTGTATAGTGTAATGGTGTGTAAATTCCACCTCCTGGCTTACTGCCACAATTCAGCCATGCTTTTTCCCAGAAAGGATTTCAAAAGATCTATATAGATGCAGAAAATGAACAAAAAGGAATAAAAGTAGCCATGTTATTAAATATCTTTAGATAACATGACTTATAATGGCTTATAATATTCTAGCTTGCATAATAAAATAATTTTTACCCTAATTTATTTAATCATTCCCAATATTAGATATTTAGTTTGTTTTTAAGCTGCTGTGAATATATTCTATGTTTACATCATTGATTAATTCCTCAGAAAATATATGTATATATGAAACTCTTGGGTTAAACATAACCCTTATTAACACTAGTATATTTCTGCCAAATTATTTGTAGAAAAATCTGTGTATATAGTTACCTGGAAAAGAAATTATAAGTTTCACTCTACTTATAAGAAGTATGAGAAGTAGAAGTGAGTCCCTGGATTTTTGCAATCACTTAATAATGCCATTTGGATAATTTGTTTCTTATTTGCTAAAACCATTTGCTATGAAAAAAATTACATTCATAATTTAGTACAATCCAAGAATATAGTTAGTAGTATTTATCACTAAATTATAATTTTTTCAAGGACTGCCTAGAACTTCCATTCCTCACAATATCCATACTGCATTATGCAACAGAGTATTTGTATTTCTCTAGGCAAAGGTAGAGGTGTTTGATTGGATAACAGTAAATTGAAAGAGTCCAGCATTCTCTTAATGTCTTCTATTGAAATCTTTTGTTGACAAAGATTAGCTTACCTGGTGTTTAATAGTGTGGTATAGAATTTACCATCTATTGAACATCATTGGGAGGGACTTACTTCTACCAAAGAGCAGCTTTAAACATGATTGAAACATACCTACATGTTTTGCTTTTCAGGATTTGCTTTGAATCAAACTGACGTTATTTATATATGCATCTATAGGACAGTTCATACTGATATCTCTGATTCATATCCACCACAATAGAGTTCATTGTAGCTTCCACCTTGCTTATTTGTAACATCTTCTCTGACATTGAAAAATTTGGCTCTCATCACCTTTATTTTTGAAAGATATTTTCACCAGGTATAGAATTCTATGCTGACAGTTTTAATCTTTAAGTACAGTAGATTCTTAAATAATGCAAAGGCCAAGGGTACTGACCCCCTTCCCCATGCAGCCAAAAACCCAAGTATAACATTAGATTCCCCACATCTTAACTACTAATAGCCTACTGTTGACCAAAAGCCTTACAGATAACACATATTTTGTATGTTTTATGTATTATGTGCTGTAATCTTACAGTAAATAAGCTAGAGAAAAGAGAATGTTATTAAGAAAATCATAAGGAAGAAAAAAATACATTAACAGTACTGTACTTTTAAAAAACCATGTGTCTGTTGGTTAAGCATCTGCCTTCAGCTGAGGTCATGATCCTGGACCCTGAGATCAAGTCCTGCATCAGGCTTCTAATCAGTGGGGAGCCTGCTTTCCCTCTCCCTCTGCCTGCCACTTCCTCTGCTTGTTCTCTCTCTCTCTCTGTCAAATAAATAAAAATCTTAAAAAAAAAAAAAAACCTGTAAGGAAACTGCACAGTTCAAATCATATTGTGCAAGGATCAACTGTACCTCTAAAGATATTGCTCCACTGTCTTCTTGCATTTATTGTTTCCCATGAGAAATCTACTGTCATTCTCTTATTGTTCCTTGAAATTACTGTAACATTTTTCCTCCTTTTGGCTACGTGTAAGATATTCTGTCACTGGTTTTGTGAAATTTGATTTTGATGTTTCTTGGTCTGATTTCCTTCATGTTTCTTGATTGGTGATTTATTGAACTTGGATCTACAAATTTGTTGCTTTTGCCAAATTTGGGAATCTTTCTACCCATTGTTTCTTTAAATACTTGATATCCCCCCTCTCTTTCCTCTTCTTTGAGGACTCTAATTACCTATATATTAGGCCGCTTGAATTGTTCCACAGATCACTAATACTTCTTCAATTTTTTAAATTCTTTATCTCTTCTTTGTTTCATTTTGCATATTTCTATTCCTGTGTCTTAAAATTCACTAACCTTTTTTAATGCCATATCTCACCATCCATCAATTCCATGTTGCAGGTGTTTCATTTCAGACCTTGTAGTTTTTATTTTTAAAAGTTTGGTTTGGATTATTTGTTCTGTTTTGCTTTAAATATTTTCTGTACCTTGAAATAACTTTTTGAACATATGGAATATGGTTATGATAAATGAGGTCCTTTCTTACCTGCTAGTTCAACATCTGTGTCATTTCTAAGGTCAGTTTTCAATAAGTGATTATTTTCCATTTTTAGGGTTGTGTTTTCTTGTTTCTTTGTATGTCTTATATTCTTTGTTTGGATGCTAGACATTATGGATTTTACTTTGTTGGATGCTGGTCTTAAAAATGTTTTTTTGTCTTTGTTTGGGAATGAAGTTAAGTTACTTGGAAATATTTTAACACTTTGGAGTTTTACTTTTATGATGCCTGGTCCAGGGCTCATTATTCTCAACTACAGAAACAAGATCCTCTGAACTTTCTCCCCAGTGCCTCATGAATTATGAATTTTTCCAATCTGGCTGGTGAGAACAAACACTATTTCTGGTTTCAGACATGCACTGAGCAGTACTCGGCTAAATACTCAAGGCAGAACTTCTGCAAATCTCTGGAGTTCTGTCTCTGTGCAGCTTTCTCCTCCTTACCAACTAGTCTCATCTGCAAAATAGCTGCCAACTGGTCTCATCTGCAAACTAGCTGCTTTGGTCTGAACAGATTCTTCACTCCATCTTCTTTGCTCAGAAAGTTGAGCTCTGCCTAGTTCTCTTCCTTGTGCCTCAACCTGGAAATTCTTTCACAGTAGTAAGAAGGGACAGTTGTAGGATTCACATTGTTTATTTTCTGTCTCTTAGGGGTCACTGACCTTTATTGCCTGATGTCTAGGCTTGAAAACTATCATTTCATATATTTTCTCTGGTTTTTCCTGGTTTCTTTCTTCTAAGTCTCAAGGAAGATTGTAAATCCAATCCATGTTATGCATTCCATCTTTGCCAGAAGCAGGAGTCTCAGGTCCTTTACATCTTCTGTTTCTTCTGTGTGGAATGCCCTACCTCAGGTAACTGTGTCACTGATGTGCTCACCTCCTCTTTCTATTTAGCAGTTTTTTATTGGATGCTGGACATTGTGAATGTTCTGTTGTTGTATCTCTGGATTTGTTTATCTTTCTTTAAAGGAGTAGTATCTTTACTTTAGCAGCCATTTACATTATCTATGGGTCAGCTTAATCCAATTGAGGCTATTTTAGGCTTTGACAGGATAGGTTATTGTAGTTTTTACTCTAAGGCTGTATTAGAAAAAAAAAAAACAAGGCTGTATTAGCCCTACTACATATGACACGACTCTTTTGAATACAATGGATGTTCAACAACATCTCTGCACTCCTGACTGCTTGAAGATTCTAATGTCTCCCAGGCCTGCGTGAGCTTTGGGAATTGGTCAATTGGTAGCTCCTACTAGTTATCCTTCGTCCAATCTCCTGGAGTCAAATACTACCCATGTCAGCCTGGTATTCAGCCAGATTGAAGATGACCCTAGGTAATTTTCTAGAGCTCTTTATTTACAGAGCTTTCTTCTGTGCCATACTCTGCCCTGAAAATTGCAGTTTCTTCACCGTCCCCAAACTCTAATCTCTGTCTCCTTAACTCAGACTACTGTTTCTGCTCCCTGTGTCACAGCCCAGAAAGTTCCCCCAGTCTGAAAGCTAGAGGGTTCATAGGAATCACCCTTCTATTAGGCATCACAGTGCTTCACTCCTTATTTCTGAAAATGGTTATCTCATATATTTCTAATAGTTTCTCCTCAGAGAGCAAATCTAATACTAATTAGACCAGAAGCAGACAGAACTCCATTATGACCAGAAGCAGACATATTCAGAGTGACATAGTACACAAAATGATTTAATACACAAGGTAGGTCATATGACTTCTCTGCTCAAAATTGTTCATTTGCAACAACATGGATGGATCTAGAGAATATAATCCTAAATGAAATTAGCCAGAGAAAGGCAAATATCTTGTGATTTTGCTCATATATGAAATTTAAGAAACAAAACAAAGAAAAAAGGAAACAAAAAACCCCAGAGTTTAAATATAGAGAGCAAACTGATGATTACCAGAGTGGAGATGGGTAGGGAGATGGATGAAATAGATAAAGGGGAATAAGAGTACATTTATCGAGACACCTGGTGGCTCAGTGGTTGAGCGTCTCCCTTTGGCTCAGGTCATGATCCCAGGTCCAGGGATCGAGTCCCACTTCGGACTCCCTGTGAGCAGCCTGCTTCTCCCTCTGCCTATGTCTCTGCCTCTCTCTCTCTCTGTCTCTCATGAATGAATAAATAAAATCTTAAGAAAAAAAAAGAGTACATTTATCATGATGAGCATTGAGTAATGTGTAGAATTACTGAACACTATATTGTACACCTGGAAATAATATAGCACTGTATGTTAATTATACTGAAATTGAACTTTAAAAGATTTCAAGTTCAGTAAAATTTCATTTTGTTTTTTTACTTTAATGGTATCCTAGTTTTCTAAAAGCACTTTTATTGAAAATAAAGTTGAAAGATATATTTCTAAAGAAAAAAGAAAACTTGCATATCCCAGAGTAGCCATGCAACTAGGAAACAGGTTCCAGGAGGAGAAGAGAGGGACAATACAAAGCAGGCAGTTCTGTGATGTAGTGTTTGTTGAAATATAAAATTCAGCTAAATTAGAATCCAAAGTAGTTCCAAAACCAGCATTATGTATTAGGAGTTATTTTAAACATAGTTGAGAAACCATAGTTTATGTAATACTTTATTTCTTAATGTGGTAATTTAAGTTCCTACAGTGAGTTTATTGAAATATGCTTTTTGTTTAGGGTTCGAGCTACAGTTCCGATTAGGCCCCACTTTACAGGGAAAAGCAGTTACTGTGTACACAAATTACCCATTTCCCGGAGAAACATTTAATCGAGAAAAATTCCGTTCCCTGGAATGGGAAAACCCAACAGAAAGAGAAGATGATTCTGATAAATACTGTAAACTTAATCTTCAGCAAGCTGGATCATTTCAGTATTACTTCCTTCAAGGGTAAGTCAGGTGTTCTTTATATGGGGGGGGGGGGAAGGTTAATTTATTCCATCTAGTTAAATTACCTAGCTTGTAAAAAGTTACTATATAAACCATGGCAGTGTGATTTTCACAGGATTTTTTGAGATAAAAATAGAATATGGTTCTTTGGTTCCTAGGAAGTAATTGTAAGACTCATTGCAGATTCAAAGTATTTTTTTTTAAGTAATCACTTGAAAACTCTAGTCTTTTCATATAACTTCATTATAAGATACTATTTGCTTGAGTGCCCTTGTTATTACTGACAGATTTTAGTACACTTATTTTTCCTGACAGCAACATTATTAGATATTGTATGTATTATGTCATTATATAGAGATTAGAAAAGGATAAAATGAGGGGTTTCCATTGAGTTTCATTGCAACTTTGTAAATGATTTCATGTGCTTAGAAATATATTTTTAAATGGGACAATTCAACCTTCCATTAGAGAGTCAGACTATTACATGAGAATTTTTTTTTCCTATCATTGAGAAGTTTTTTGTTTTGTTTTCTCCTTAGAAATGAGAAAAGTGGTGGGGGTTACATAGTTGTGGATCCTATTTTATATGTTGGTGCTGATAATCACGTATTACCCTTGGACTGTGTTACTCTCCAGACATTTTTAGCTAAGTGTTTGGGACCCTTTGATGAATGGGAAAGCAGACTTAGAGTTGCAAAAGAATCAGGTAATGTCAGATATCTTTCTTTTCTTTTTAAAAATAAATAAATAAATGTGATTATCCTCTGTGATATAGATTTCAAAGCTTTGATTCTCCTTTTAATTTTGTTTCTTAGTATATAGTAATATAAATAGAATCATACAAAGTTGTTAAGACAACCATTTTTAACCTACAAAAATAGCAAATTATATGGTTCAACTCAGTAAATTAAGGCAATCTCATAATAAAATGAGATCTTCATTGTCCTAAGACTTTACTTTGACATATAAAAATTAGTAGTAAACTATTAAAATGTTTTAGAAAATGTATTATTATTGTATATAACTTTAATTCAACATTAAGTAACTGTCTTCCATATGGAAGGTGTGTGCTGCCATACATATCAAGAGTAAAATGCGGGATCCCTGGTTGGCGCAGCGGTTTAGCGTCTGCCTTTGGCCCAGGGCGCGATCCTGGAGACCCGGGATCGAATCCCACGTCGGGCTCCTGGTGCATGGAGCCTGCTTCTCCCTCTGCCTGTGTCTCTACCTCTCTCTCTCTGTGTGTGTGTGACTATCATAAATAAATAAAAATTAAAAAAAAGAGTAAAATGCAATTTAAGTTGTATTTTACTCTTATGCAAAGGGTAATATTAATTTTCTACTTTTAAGTTGTTTTTTTTTTCTACTTTTAAGTTGAATATAATATAAAGAAAGCCAAGAAGTTTACTGACATAATTGAAACTAGTGGAACATTAAAAATAGGAGCAAAACATGCTGATATTCTTGTATAAAGTATATACATATATGTATATATGTATATATCCAATAAATATAAATTGAACCCCTATGATAACTAGGCACTGTGTACAATGATTTTTCTCAAATGCATTATCTCATTATCTCTGTCTTATATATGAAGACACTGATACGCTAAAAGATTTAAGTAGACTTGCTTGAAGTCACTTGGGATATAGCTAGGATTTGAACCCTAGTCTTTGACTACTTTTCTAGTTGCATAGTTGCTTTGCTATTTAGAATCATTTAGGGAAGTTTAAACTTATATTTTGCTTAGTTTTAGTTTGTTTTTTTCTTATAGTCTTTGCTTATTATCTTTGTTTTTATTTTTTTTCTTTGTTTATTTTCTTGTGTTACAGGTTACAACATGATTCATTTTACCCCATTACAGACTCTTGGGCTATCTAGATCATGCTATTCTCTGGCCAACCAGTTAGAATTAAATCCTGACTTTTCAAGACCTAATAAAAAATATACCTGGAGTGATGTTGGGCAACTAGTGGAAAAAATGAAAAAGGAATGGAATGTTCTTTGTATTACTGATGTTGTCTACAACCATACTGGTATGAGCTTCATTAACAACTTCCATTAATTTTGATGAAAATATATTCTGATTATTTCTCGCTGTTTTATATAGCATAAATTTTGAAAACACAAATGACACATAGATGTTCTTCAATTTAAAAACACTTTATATAGCTCCACTTTTTTCTTTCAAAGAAAACAGTGTTAGTTGAAGATATAATCAACATGTAAGTATTTTGCATGTGATGATCATAAAAACAGGAGAGTAATTATAGATGGAACATATGATCACGTATTTCAACTTGCAGTATTAATACTTTGCAGACCAACATGTGAATCCCACATAGCAGCAGCTCTAGTACTCTAGTGTTTGTGTGTGTGTGTGTATATATATATATTTGAAAAAGAGTGAATTACTATCATTTAAACAGAAAATTATTGGTAAATCTTATAAGTTAAATCTAAAAATTATACCCTTTACATGTTAAAAGGGTTTATTAAAATTAACCCAGTTGGATCTCAAGATTCTTTGCCAATATACAATTCTATAAAATGTATTAGATCTTTCCAACTGGTGATCCTCAGGGAGATGACTGCTCCTCTCACCTGTCAGAACAGCTGGGTCTGGAGAAGCTTCTGGCCATGATCAGCTTTCAGTTTAACCCAGTGTGCCTTGCAAATATTCTCTTCTCTGTATGCCACAGTGAAAACTTCCTAATATCTAAGAACCCAGTATTCTTTACTTGATAATTTGACATTATTGATAATTACTTTAACATCTATAATAATATTTCCATCAAACTTACCAAACTACATAATGACATTATGTGAGTTAGGATATGGTATGGGAAACTATAGCAAAGAGACAAAAATATAGTGATGTAAGACTGAAACTGTATTCTTTTTTTTTTGTATTTCTTTCTTTTTTTAATAATAAATTTATTTTTTATTGGTGTTCAATTTGCCAACATTTTGTATTTATTTCTTCTAAAGATGAGATAGGCATCCCAAGACTGCAGTAGTAGCTCAGTGATAATAGGGAATGAGGTTCTTTCTCTCATGCTGCTCTATCTCCAACACTGTGCTTCTAACTCTTTTTTTTTTTTTTTTTTTTTTTTTTTTTTGTGCTTCTAACTCTTAATCAAATTTGGCCTGTCCAGTTCCCAGTATTACCTGCTACCAATGGAAATGAGAAAGGGAAGTCATGCCTTTTAAGGGCATGGTCTGGTTATATATATATATAACTTCTACTCACATTTCATCAAATAGAATTTTGTCTCTTGTTACACCTGTAAAGGATCCTGCAATGTAGCCTGTTTGCCAGCCAAATGTACAGCTGAACCTTAGGAGTTCTCTTACTAAAGGAACAAAGGAAGAAAAAAAATGAGATATAGTAGCAGTCTCTATCAGAGACTATATTTCTGTGGCATTTGAGAGAATCTATGCAATATAAAAAAGTGAATTTTGCTTCAGCCTTAAATTGGAAAGTATTACCAATCATAATGTCCTTTTTGTGAAATAAGTTTTCATTAAAAAGTTACTATACAGGGGAAGTCAACTTCCAAATGGCAGTGTGAGGGCTTCACAGACCCTCTACTCAGCAAAACAACTGTTAAAAATTATTTTTTAAAATACAGTTTAAAGTCTTTGGAAATTATTCTAAGGGAAGTTGGCATAGGGAAAAGCATATCAAGAAAATCTATTAACTCTCAGTAAGAGCAGTAATAGTCTGTGACATTTGAACCAGGATCTGCCTCTCCCTGCCCCAGCTCAGAATGATGATAGGTCTATTCCTGGCAAGTGCAGCTGGGAACACAAGGCTCCTTTTCTCCTCAGCTCCCAGTCTAGGGCTACAGTTGAAATGGGCAGGCTTCCAACATTTCTCACATCCCTCCCAAATCCAGCATTCTGTTGCAGAAACTCTATTCTGGGCAAGAGCAGCTGAGAAGTCTGGGTCTCCCTTCTTTCAGCCCCAATCATAGAGGGAAAACTTTACATGCATGGCAGGGCAAGGATACTCTGTCCCAGTTGCCTTGCACCAGCTTGCTTGTTGGGTGGAGGTTCTACATCTGGAGAAGAAAGCCAAAGACTCGGAGCGTATAGTCCCTGCCACCAGCTGTGGAGCAGTGACACAGGTGTTCTGCCCAGGGGAGGAGATGTGCAGTAAAAACAGAGTAAGAATGAAATTGACTTTATTTGGCACATAGCAGAGGACACTGTTGGAAACAGTGAAGACTTTGGTGGTAAACAAGAGGAGGCTGGTATCACCACGAAGGCAGTGTACTAAATCATAGACCAGCCAGTAGTTTAACCAAAAAAAACCCAGGGAAAGACACAGCTAAGAATAACCCTCCTGGGATCAGACGAGTCTCAGAGACTGGCCTCAGTGACTACCCCTGCCAAGGGGTCCAAATTTAATTGGATCAAACTGTGAAGCAATTAATGATCCAGCCTATTATCAAAAAATAATAGCACAAAAGACTAACGGCTAGGTGTGATTCCAGCAGAGGCAGCAGCTTAACAGAGTTCAGGGAAAGAGACAGTTAAGAGAGGCTTGCTAAAAACCACTGTCACCCCAGACTACTGCCCAGGGGCCACGGATGCACCCTCTGAGTGGCAGCATCAGTGGCTGCACACTGTAGGGGATATAGACTTCACTAAAATAGTCTAGCCGAGTTAAAAACAAGTAGCCAACAAGACCTGGGAGGAATGGGCTCAATATCCAGAGTTGCTACAGTACGTTATCTAAATTGCCCAATTTGCAACCAAAAAATTGAGACATACAAAGAAACAGCAAGTGTGACCTATACACAAGAAAAAAAGCAGGCAACGGAAGTTGCCTTTAAAAAGTCCTAGATGGGGCAGCCCCGGTGGCGCAGCGGTTTAGCGCCGCCTGAAGCCCAGGGCATGATCCTGGAGTCCCGGGATCGAGTCCCACGTCAGGCTTTCTGCATGGAGCCTGCTTCTCCCTCTGCTTGTGCCTCTGCCTCTCCCTCTCTCTCTCTCTGAATAAATAAATAAAATCTTAAAAAAAAATTTAAAAAGTCCTAGATGTCATGCTTAGCCAACATAGACTTCAAAGCTACTATTCTAAATATATATAAGGAATTAAAGGAAACCAGATTAGAGCAGTAAAGGGGAGGATATGATGATGATATTTCATCAAATAGAGAGTATCAGTAAATGGAAAATTTTAAAAGTAACCAGCTAGGAATTCTGTAGCTGTAAAGTAAGTAAGCAAAATTTAGAATTCACTAGAGATATTCAGCAGTATATTTGAGTTGCCAGAAGAATCAGTGAACAGAGATTATATGTTTTGAAGAACAAAAGAAAGAAGATAAAAATGAACAGAGTTCCAGTGAAAGGTGGGAGATCTTGAAGCGCACCAACATGCATCATGGAAATCCCTGAAGGGGAGGGAAGAAAAGAACAGAAAACACACTTGAAGAAGTAATGGCTAAAAACTTCCCAGTCTTTAAAATTTGATTAAAAAAAGAAAATTAATCTACACATCCTAAAGCTCAGTGAACTTTAAGTAAACAGAACAAAGATAGCCACACTCAGCATAGTAAAAATTTTGTAAGCCAAAGGTCTAGGGAATTTTGAAAGTAATGCAAACATTGTTTTATTGTGCTTCATTTTATTACACTTCTCAGTTACTGCTCACTTTTTTTTTTTAACAAATAGAAGATTTGTGGCAACCCTGCATCAAACAAGACTATTGATGGCATTTTTTTTAAGATTTTATTTATTTATTCATGAGAGACACAGAGAGAGATTGGCAGAGAGAGACATAGGCAGAGAGAGAGAGAAACAGGCTCCATGCAGGGAGCCTGATGTGGGACTCGATCCTAGGACTCCAGGACCATGCCCTGGGCCGAAGGCAGGCACTAAACTGCTGAGCGATGCAGGGATCCCCTGATGGCATTTTTCTAACAGCATTTGCTTACCTCATGTCTCTGTGTCACATTTTGGTAATTTTTGCAATATTTCAAACTTTTTCATTAAATTTGTTATGGTCATCAGTGATTCGTGATTATGACTTGCCAATAGCTCAGATAATAGCATTTTTTAACATGATAGTTAGCCTTTTTATTTAAGGTATGTACTTTTTTTAAAAGATATAATGCTGGGATCCCTGGGTGGCGCAGCGGTTTGGCGCCTGCCTTTGGCCCAGGGCGCGATCCTGGAGACCCGGGATCGAATCCCACGTTGGGCTCCCAGTGCATGGAGCCTGCTTCTCCCTCTGCCTGTGTCTCTGCCTCTCTCTCTCTCTCTCTCTCTCTCTCTCTCACTATCATAAATAAATTAAAAAAAAAAAGATATAATGCTATTGCACACTTAGTAGACTACAATGCAGTATCAATATAACTTTTATATATGCTAGGAAGTCAAACAAATTTGACTCCCTTTATTGCAATACTTATTTTATTGCAGCAGTCTGGATCCAAATACACAGTGTCTCTGAGGTGTACCTATATATTGAAAGGCAGAGACTGTCAGAGGTCATTGAAAAAAAACAAGATCCAACTATATACTATCTACAGGCAACACACTTCAGATTCAAAAATACAAATAGGTTGACAGTAAAAGGATGGATAAAGATTTATACAAGGACGAGGAGCTGGGAGGTTCCTTCTCAGGTTGCTCTGGAGACCACACAGCTCTGGACATACATATGGTCTTCTAGACTGCCAGATGTGAATGGGATTTTATTTTTAAGCCTGGCTTCCTAGGAGTTACCCTGGGTCAGAGTAGGTTAGTGTTTACTCCGTGGTTGGTTAGAGGTTATATTTTAAATCCCTTTGCCGGGATCCCTGGGTGGCGCAGCAGTTTAGTGCCTGCCTTTGGCCCAGGGCGCGAACCTGGAGACCCAGGATCGAATCCCACGTTGGGCTCCCGGTGCATGGAGCCTGCTTCTCCCTCTGCCTGTGTCTCTGCCTCTCTCTCTCTGTATGTGTGACTATCATAAATAAATGAGAATTTTAAAAAAAATGGAGTTTAAATCCCTTTGCCAGGAAGTTGTCCTGTGTTGATGGGTCTATATGGGATTTGGGGAATGTTTTCAAGTCTTTCCCATGTCTTGTTAGAATTGCTTCTGAGTGGGTGCAGCCTAGTGCATGCACCCAGCCTTTCCAGCCCCCACAGTTGCCTGTGATCCCAGAAGGGCTGTCTGCTTTCTCTTCCCCCTAGTTCTATTAAATTTCTGTTTGTTCGCTCCAGTGTTTTTCTTATATCATGAAGCCACCAGCATTCTCTTAACTGCTCCCCACCACAGTTTTCATTATTTTAAACAACACCCATACACATGGAGTTCTTCACCCACTGTTCCAAACAAATTCAGTCCTTTCAGGCAGAGCTCTTCATCCTCCTGGCCTGTCTTTATCCTTGAGCAGAACACCTGTGCCATGCTTCAGAGCTGGGGATGAGACCACTTTTTTCCAAGCACAGTCTCATTCTGGGGGCATGCAAGGCAGGAGGTAGCAATCCGTGGTCTTCTTGGTTGCCCTCCCCACATGGAACCTTCACCCTGCAAGTAAGCTCCAGCTCTTAGGGACAGTTAGAGTCCCAGTATTCTTGCTAGGTAGGATGTCCACCCTACAAGAGGGGTGCTAGGTGGAGGAAAGGAACTGAGATTTTCTTTGCCTGCCTATTTGGAAAAGAGAAAAGAGCTTCTACAAAATGGAGCTAAAGGGAGTGGGAAACACAGGCAGCCTGCCTCTCCCACCATGAAACTGTAACCCCAGACTGGAAATGATGGTAAGAGGACACCTCCATGTTGGCCATGCTTACCTGGAGTAGAACACCTGGCATAGAGGTTCCATTAGCACATAGCTGGATGGGAGGGTTAAGGGAGCAGATCATAGTTCAAATGCCACAGACTCTTGCTATTCTTGCCAAAAGTTAGTAGATTTTCTCAAATAAATGTTTCTCCATAAGCTGAATGCCCTTAGGACAATGTTCAGAGACTTTAAATGATTATATTTTTTATAATTTTTGCTATTTAAATTATGGTTTTGCTGGGGCAAATGTCTGCTAAGTTCCTTACTGTACCGCTTTAGAACTCCATGTTTCACTTATTTTGATACTTATTAAGATGTGGTTGATTTGGCTTCTCTTTCATGTAGAATTAGAAAAAATACATTGTTAGCGAATGCTTAGAATTTTTTCATTTTACACTTGATTTTGTTTCAAAAAAATTAGTAACAAAGTTTCAGGATTTTACCATTTAAAAAATTAGGGTGGCCATAGTATTCTTTTTTTTTTTAAAGATTTTATTTATTTATTCATAGACACAGAGGGAGAGAGGCAGAGACACAGGGAGAGGGAGAAGCAGGCTCCATGCAGGGAGCCCGATATGGGACTCGATCCTGGGTCTCCAGGATCACAACCCAGGCTGCAGGCGGCACCAAACCGCTGCGCCACCAGGGCTGCTCCATAGTATTCTTAATAAATGAAAATCCAAACTGGATATAATTATCATTACATTTTTCTCTTACATCTTGAATTCTATTAACTCTGATGATAAAACTAAGGAAAACCAGCTTGATTTGGATTGGAGAATTATTGACTTAACTGTTATTACAACATCTTTGCTTCTTATGTATCCTGTCTTCTTCATCCATGTGTTTATTATGGATATAAGTAAATAATAAATAAATTATGTACTCCGTTATTTATTAAATAAACGACTGAAACTAGAAATAATAATGATTTTTAAATTCTGTAAGGATTGTAATGATACTCAGCTGAGTGAGTGAGACATGAACACATTCATCTGGTTAAGATTGCAAGATCTGAAGAAACTTGCCCAAATTCATTTCTGGTTGTATGACTTTGGCTGAGTAACTTCTCTGTGCCTCAGTTCCTCATCTGATTAAGGAACATAAGTGTGCCCTACATCATACAGTAGTATATGAGGATTAATAAATTAGTGTATGTATCTGGCATATGGTAGGTGTTCAGTAGTTATTTTTATTTCATGTACATTAACCACTCATGCTCCTCAATAGGAATTCAGGGGAATTACTCTATTTTAAAGATGAAACAAAAATATATATAGCTTTTATTTGTTTAAAAATTAAAGCAGATATTCTTTAATGTTGTAAATATGTGGAATACCTTGCAGAACTCTGATTCTGATTCTGCATTTACTGATGGATAAATGGATAGTAGGATTGTAAGGTACACCCTTGTTCTTTGAGTATGTTTCTTTTAGCAATTTCTCAGCCTCACTTTTATCAGTATTACTAAAACAATGTATCTTACTAACCATTCAAGATTAGCTATACAAAGAAGTTACCTGTGAGAGAACTGAACTTTCTTCTATCAGAATTGTCTAAGCACAATAAAACAAATAAACAAATCCCCCTCTCTAGAATGCAAAAGCTCCACAAGGACAGGAGCTTTGCTCACTTTTGCTGCAGAATATCCATTTCCCAGAACAGTGCCTGGGATAGATCACATCCTAAGTGTAGATATATATAGACATATATACAAATGGATTTTGAGTTAACATGCTGTCCTCAGGCAGTACTACTCATCACATTTGGGTAAATGTGCCTGGGCCTTGGCTGGAGCTGGGATTGGTTTGAGATGTAGGTCCCAAGAAGAGTGGGTGAGATGAGGAAGGGCAGGTAAAATAAAGAAAGAGAAGGAATAAGATATAGCACACCTCCCTCAAAGGTTTAGCAGAAATGAGAAGGATCAAAAGAAAGAAGGAAAAACTAAAAACCACCAAGATGATACCTTTTCTAAATCAAGGAAGAGGTATTTTATAAATCAATGAAGGATGAATCAGTAATGGCAAATGTTATAGAGGTTAAATGGATAAAGTTGAGAAAGTAGCACTAAATTTCATGATTAGGAGGCGTAGAGTAACCTCAGTGGAGTGCTGGCTACAGCAGCAGAATACAGTGGGAAAAGGAACAAGACTGTGGGGAGAAAGTGGAGGCAGCAGATACAGGTTGGATTTTCTAGATGTTTGGTTTTGATACTGATAAATTGCAGAAGTCAGAGAAATAACTCTGTTTGTATAGGATGTGTATTTGTTTGTATTCTTAGCCTTAGGGAGATACAATCATATTTAAAGATAGAGAGGAAGGAACCTTACCTCACTCCCCTCTCCCCCACAAAAAAACACAGGAATAAATGATTATGTAGGAAAAAAGGTGTAAATGACATTTTGAGTTCTGAAGATTGGGTGGAAGCCCTGTCTGGCTTGGAAGGATAGGTGTTTTTCAGACTTAGAAGGAATATTCCAAAATATAATTGACTCGAGGACTGTCAAAGTGGGCCAAGGACAAGACCATTCTTAATTTCCACAATAGTAAACATGTTATTACAGGGGTGTTAATAAGTCAGTGTTGTATCTTACGGCATTAAAAATTCCTATGACAGAAAAGAAAAATATATAGTGAAGTGGATGACAAGATACCACAACCGAAAAACATTTTTTCACATTACAGTATCATAAATCATGATAAATATTTTAGCAAATATTTAATATAAAGTATAACATCAATAGGTAATTCATAGTTTATATAATATTTAAATATTGATGTCTAGTATATAAGAAAATAAGTGGTGGTTGTTGATATTTTATTTCATCTTTAAACTTAACATGGATACTAACTTCATTTTAATTACAAGAGATTCCTTTATGTTTCCTTTTTCTTTAAGCTGCTAATAGTAAATGGATCCAGGAACATCCAGAAAGTGCTTATAACCTTGTAAATTCTCCATACTTAAAACCTGCCTGGGTCTTAGACAGAGCACTGTGGCATTTATCATGTGACGTTGCAGAAGGGAAATACAAAGAAAAAGGAGTACCTGCTTTGATTGAAAATGATCATCAAATGAATGTCAGTATGTATAGAGGAGTATCACACTAAAACAGAATAACAAAATTTCTGAAGTATAAATTAAATGTATAGTTGAAAACTAGAATATTTTAAATTTGACAACATTTAGTGAAATGATTCTAAATATATTTTTTACCTATTGAAATTTTTCAGTGCATTCGAAAAATAATTTGGGAGGATATTTTTCCAAAGATTCAACTCTGGGAATTTTTCCAAGTAGACGTTTACAAAGCAGTTGAGCAATTTAGAAGACTTCTTACACAAGGTAAAGGATATACATTAGACTGTTCCTAGCAATTTTAGGAAATTTACTGTTTCTTTTAAAGAGATGAGTCTTCTTTCCTCTGGTTAAGACATTATTAAATCTGTTATTATTATTATACATTTGTGTTACTATAACTATGGTTCTAGAAGCTGAGAGCAGAGATATCTAAAGGGCGTGACATAATAATATGTAACAATTATTTCTCTTGGGGACTGTTTCTTAGTATTGGTTCCTTAGCACAATGCCCAGAATATAGTAGAGTTCAATATATGTTAAGTGTGTGAACAGGAGGTCATAGAGCAGGTTACTGCAGCTGCCAAAGGCAGCTTTTAACCTCTGGGTAGCAGTATACTGTGTTTATTTTTTTTTAAGATTTATTTACTTATTTTTAGAGAGAGAGAAAGCATAGGGGGAAAGAGGAAGAGGGAAAGGGAGAGGGAGAGAAAGAATATCAAGCAGACTTCCTATTGAATGCAGAGCTAGATGCATGGCTCAATTCCACCGCCGAGAGATCGTGACTGAGCCAAAATCTATAGAGTTGGACGCTCAACTGACTGAGCCACCCAGGTGCCCTTAAACTTTTTTTTTTAAGATTTTATTTTTGGGCAGCCTGGGTGGCTCAATGGTTTAGCGCCACCTTCAGCCCAGGGCCTGATCCTGGAGAGAGAGAGAGAGGCAGAAACACAGGCAGAGGGAGAAGCAGGATACATGCAGGGAGCCCGATGCAGAAGTCAATCCCAGGACCCCAGGATCACACCCTGGGCCAAAGGCAGATGCTAAACCTCTGAGTTACCCAGCCGTCCCTTTGTCATTCATTCATTCATTCATTCATTCATTCAATACTTATCTTTTGAACCACCTACTGGGCACTCTTCCAGGCATGGGGAATCAGTAGTGAACATAGCAGGCCCTTACTTTAGTAGAACCTATATGTTTATAAGCAGTATTATAGAAAATATATCCTTGTATGTGTTATCTTTACTTACATGAGTAAATCTGCAGGATAAATTGTTAGGCATAGAATTTCTGAGTCAAGAGCATAAAAATTTAATGATAAATTTACAATAGATATTGTGTAGTTGTTTTTCAACACAAGTTATACCAATTTACATTATCATTAACTATATCGTTAGGTACAATTAATATTTATAATGTTTGTCAATCATGGAAAAACATTCCTTATTTTTTTAAAAACTGGGTTTTTTCCCTCCTTAAGATTTTATTTATTTATTCATGAGAGATACAGATTGAGAGAGAGAGAGGCAGAGACACAGGCAGGGGGAGAAGCAGGCTCCATGCAGGGAGCCCGACTTGGGACTTGATCCTTGGACTCTAGGATCATGCCCTGGGTGAAGGCAGGAGCTAAACCACTGAGCTACTCAGGGATCCCTTCTTCCTTATTTTAATTTGTAGTTCTTTATTCATTAGTGAAGCACCTTTTCACGTGTTATTTCACTATTTATAGATCTTCCATTAATTGTCTGTTAATGTCCTTTCCCTATTTTTCTAGTGGCCTGTTTGACTTTTTCACATTGACTTATTAATATTTGTGTTTCCTTATTATACTGACTTAAATATGTCCTCCTAGTATGCTGTTGATCTTTTAACTCTTGATTATGGTATTTTTTTTTCAGTGCAGTCAAATTTGTCAATCTTTTATGGCTTCTAATTTCACATCATGCTTGGAAAAAAAACCTTCCATCAACATTCTGTTTTCTTTTCTTTTTTTTTTTAAGATTTTATTTATTCATGAGAGACACAGAGAGAGGCAGAGACATAGGACATAGGCAGAGGGAGAAGCAGGCTCCATGCAGGGAGCCCAATGTGGGACTCGATCCGGGAACTCCAGGATCACCCCATGAGCCAAAGACAGACGCTTAACCACTGAGCCACCCAGGAATCCCGCACATTCTGTTTTCTTAAAAAAAAAAAATGCTGTTTTCTTCTAATCGTATTTATTTTTTACATTTAAATACCCAATGGACACCTGGGTAGCTGTCAGTTAAGCTTCTGACTCTTGATTTCAGCTCAGGTGATGATCTCACTGTCATGGGATCAAGCCCCATATTGGGCTCCAGGCTCAGCAGGGAGTCTTCTTGGGATTCCCTCTCACCCTCTCCCTCTGCCCCTCCTCACTGCACGCACACACACTCTCTCTCTTTCAAATAAATAAATAAATCTTTAAAAATAAGTAAATCTTTAAAAATAAATAAATATTCAATACACCTGGAATTTTTTGTGTGTATTATATAAGGTATTTTTATTCAAAAAATGGTATTGAGTTGATAATCCATCCTTTTATACTGATTTGTTGTACACCATAAATACTTCATAGTGTAGTCATATACTAAATATATGTTGATTTCTTATCTGTACTATTCCAGTGATCTTTTATTCATTCTATCAGTACTAAAGTACTAAAGAGTATTTTATCATTTATACTGATCTTGTTAGCTTTTTTTTCAAACACTTCCTGGCAGTTTTCTTTTTAAGATTTTATTCATTTGTTTGAGAGAGAGCGAGAGAGCACAAGTGGAGGGAGGGGCCTAGGGAGAGGGAGAAGCAGACTTCCTGTGGAGCAGGAAGCCTGATGCAGGCAGGGCTCAGTCCCAGGACACTGGGATCATGACATGACCTAAACTAAAGGTAGATGCTTAATCTGATGAACAATCCAGGTGCCCCACTGGCAGGTTTAATATATTTACTCTTCCAAATGAAACTCAGAAACTAAATTTTAAGAATCTATTTACATTTTGTTTTGTGCTTTTATAAGTCACTTCAAGGTCTCTTTAGAATAAGCCAGATACTAATTAGTTAATATAAAATCAAGCCCAGGGGATCCCTGGGTGGCGCGGCGGTTTGGCGCCTGCCTTTGGCCCAGGGCGCGACCCTGGAGACCCGAGATCGAATCCCACGTCGGGCTCCCGGTGCATGGAGCCTGCTTCTCCCTCTGCCTGTGTCTCTGCCTCTCTCTCTCTCTCTCTCTCTCTCTCTCTGTGTGACTATCATAAAAAAAAAAAAAAAACAAAAAAAATAAAAAATAAAATCAAGCCCATTTAAGGAGGCACTTGATGTAATGAGCACTGCTGTTATATGCAACTGATGGATGAATCACTAAATTCTACCTCTGAAACTAATAATATTCAGTATGTTAATTAATTGATTTTAAATTTAAAAGACAAGTATTAGGGGATCCATGGGTGGCTCAGCGGTTTAGCATCTGCCTTCAGCCCCAGGGCGTGATCCTGGGGTCCCAGGATCGAGTCCCAAATTGGGCTCCCTGCATGGAGCCTGCTTCCCCCTCTGCCTGTGTCTCTGCCTGTCTCTCTCTGTGTCTCTCATAAATAAATAAAATCTTTTAAAAAATAAAAAGAAATAAAAGAAATATTAAAAGAATAATAAATAAAAAATAAGTAAAATCAAGCCCAGTAGAGGCAATCCTGCACAACACCTAATTTTTTTAGGAACAAGTTCCAGGGGCACCTGGGTGGCTAAGTGGTTGAGCATGTCCCTTTGGCTCAGGTTGTGATCCCAGAGTCCTGGGATCAAATCCTGAATCAGGCTCCCTGCAGGGGTCCTGCTTTTCCCTCTGCCTGTCTCTGCCTCTCTCTGTCCAGTCTCTCATGGATAAATAAATAAAATCTTTAAAAAAAAAAAAAAAAGGAACAAGTTCCAGAAAAGGGATGAAAATCCTTTCCATAAAACATTTATTTACTTTTTCATTTTTTATTATTGTTAAGGAATATGCTTATTGGTAAAAAGGAAAACATAAAATCAAGCCTGTGTACTTCTTTCAGAGAATGCAAAAAAAAATCAAGCTGTTAATCAGACTTTTGAATAGAAAGCAGTCTTTGAAGAAATATAACTCCTGATATTAGTATATTTGGTAACACCTAGAAAGAAAACTTCTACCACCAATATCCTTAATTGTATAAAATAAGAGAATGTTGACTAAGGCAGAAAAGTGGGGCAAGGGTTCAACTGATAGGAATCCCTGTGTTTTTATTCTGTAATGTTCTTCTCCCTCCCTCCCTTCTCTCTCTCTCCCCTCCTTCTTTATGTGTGTACATGTGTGTGTGTTAGATGGTGTGCAGGAAGATGGGGGGTGGTAGGGAAGGATGCTTATGAAATAAACATTTGTTTTGTTTTCTGTGAAAAAATTGTAAGCTAAAAATTTGGATATCAGTAACAGTTAAAATCTTCTTGTGTAGGGGATCCCTAGTGGCTCAGCGGTTTGGTGCCTGCCTTCGGCCCAGGGCATGACCCTGGAGTCCCGGGATCGAGTCCCGCGTCAGGCTCCCTGCATGGAGCCTGTTTCTCCCTCTGCCTGTGTCTCTGCCTCTCTCTCTCTGTCTCTCATGAATAAATAAATAAAATCTTTAAAAATAAATAAAAAATAAATAAAATCCTCTTGTGGATTTTGCATTTAAGATACCATCTTTTCTTTCTTTCAGAAAATAGGAAAATAACAACCAAGCCTGATCCAACGGAACACCTTAAGATTATTCAGGATCCTGAATACAGAAGACTTGGCTGCACTGTAGATATGAACATTGCACTAGCAACGTTCATACCACATGAGTATGTTTTGTATTTTTCCTATGAAGTAAAGGATAATATTACTTACGGACCTTTATGGCTAGTATTAAAGTCCTGAATAGAAAATTCAGTAAAGTAATTCACCATAATTCCACTGGTTCAAATGCATGATGTTTTCCTCTTTTTTCTGTGTGGTGGTCCATGTTCCTATATGTGTATATAAAATTGTTCACAATTGGAAAACTTCTTCAGCCATAATTAAGATCCTGATAAGTATGTTTAAAGTTTCAAATAAATAAATAAATAAATAGATAAATACAATTTCTAGACCCATGTTAGAAAATTTTTAAATGTACTTTTAAATCCATTAGATTTTCAGTGGTATTACTCTCTCTGCTTTAGCAAGGGCCCAGCTGCAATCGATGAATGCTGTAATTGGTTCCGTAAGAGAATTGAGGAATTAAATTCAGAGAAGTATCAACTCGTGAATTATCATCAGGAACAGGTTTCACCTACTTTTGAAATGCTGTTTTTCTTTGAGTCTTTATACTGTTTATTGTTGTTTTTACTGACATAACATAATTTAATGTGTTCTAGGCAGTTAATTGCCTTTTGGGAAATGTGTTTTATGAACGACTGGCTGGCCACGGTCCTAAATTAGGACCTGTCACTAGAAAACATCCATTAGTTACCAGGTATTCCATTTTTGTTTTCTTTTCATTGGAAGTTAAAAATGGAAAATTCAGCTCCTTATCTTGTAGGTAATGTGCAGCACAGATTAGGCAACTAAAGGGTAGCAAAAAGCTTTTGCAAAGTAATATCAATACTTCAATGATTTTCTTAGTAATTTTATGAGATTTTTTTTAAGTTATTACTTAAAGTGTTAACCAGATAATGCTAACTTTCCATTTCTCAAATCTTAGTAGATTTACCTCAGAAAGTCTCCTGAAAATTTTTGACCTATAACTAAGTTTATTTCCTATAAATAATGTAAAACTAATCTTACTCTATTTGTTAGGGAGGAAGTTTAATTTTAAGAGACTAATTTAAATTCTCTCCAAAGAGTCTGTCTAGATTTAATATTTAATTGTATCTCCATAGATATTTTACGTTCCCATTTGAAGAAATGACTGTCTCCACAGAAGAGTCTATGATTCATAACCCAAATAAAGCTTGTTTTCTGATGGCCCATAATGGATGGGTAATGGGAGATGATCCCCTTCGAAACTTTGCTGAACCAGGTACATCATTTTTGTTACCTTCTCTGTGGATAGGGAAAGAAAAGTTTACAGCAAGCTCAAAATATACTGTTTCATTGACTTTCTTTCCCACTAGGCTAATAGTTCTTAAACTATTTCAACACAGAAGTGCCAGAGGTACATACAGTTTGAGAGAGAAAAAAAGGGATTGACAAAAAGAATGGCATTCATCTTTTTCTCCCTCACCCTTTCTTCTCCTTATCCTTCTATACTCAACCAGAATGGCTTTTATCTATTTTATATTATGGTTTTGCGTAAGATTTTATATGGTTAAAAATTTAATCTATTGTTTTTTTTTAAATATATTTGAAACCACTACTATTACAACTATATTGCCATAAGAGATATTTTCATTCATTAGCCAGGGGGTTATTAAGGTACTGAATAGCAATTACACTGGAAACTAATTTTCGGTTCCCCTCTCACTCCTAGCATTTTATTTTTTTACAGCTATTTCTTTGCCAGGAAGAATTTTGCTGGGGACCCATCAATATGTTTTTCAACATTTTAGAAGTCTGTTTGAATGACTTTAAATTTAATTCAAGGGGATCCCTGGGTGGCTCAGCAGTTTAGCACCTGGCTTTGCCCCAGGGCGTGATACTGGGGTCCCACGATCAAGTTCTGCATCGGGCTCCCCACAGGGAGCCTGCTTCTCCCTGTGCCTGTGTCTCTGCCTCTCTCTCTATCTGTGTCTCTCATGAATAAATAAAACCTTTTTAAAAAAAATTAAATAAATTTACTTCAAAAATCTCCCTTTTTAAAAAAGGAACGTCACTTTGGGTTTAAGTGTAGCTCTGCCTTCTCCTTTCTAGTTATTCTAAATGAGAAAAGGCATTCTACTGTATGCTGTGGATTTAATGTAATCTGTTGCCAAAAATGAGTAACAAGGTGGAAATTCAGCTTTAAATGTTTTTGGTAAAACTCTGTCTTCAAAGGGCTTATATTACTGTTACTGTTTTCCTTTACAAGAAGCAACTTGATTTTTTTTTTTACATTAAGTACACATTTTTAGAAGAGACTATAGGTACAATTTTAGCAAAAAATATATGAATTAGTATTTTTTAAACTTTATAAATTTAGAAACCCATGCCATTTTAGACAAAATTTTAAACAATACATGATTTATGGTAGAAATAGTGGATGTGGATCCCTTTCACAAAGATGATGTGAAGAAGGAAGTCCCTGCCCCTCCCAAAGTCGAAGCCAAAGCAAAGGCTTTGAAAGCTAAAAAAGCAGCGCTGAAAGGGGTTCACAGTCACACACACACACACACACACACACACACACACAAGATCCACACGTCACCCACATTCTGAAGACCCAAGACCATATGTCTCCAAAGCAGCCCAAATACCCTCAAAAGAGCACCCCCAGAAGAAACGAGCTTGATCACTATGCCATCATAAGGTTTCCCCTGACTACCAAATCAGCCATGAAGAAAGTAGAAGACAACAACACACTCATGTTCATTGTGAATGTCAAGGCCAATAAGCACCAGCTCAAACAGGTTGTGAAGAAGCTTTACAATATTGATGTGGTCAAGGTCAACACCTTGATCAGGCCTGATGGAGAGGAGAAAGCATATGTTTGACTCCTGATATGATACTTTGGATGTTGCCAACAAAATCGGGATCATCTAAACTGAGTCCAGTCGGCTATGAATCTAATTATTTTTTTCACCATAAAAAATAGTCAATGTGATTTTAAAACATTTCCTTGAAGTAAATGTTTTCATGTTATTTCTTGAACCATTGAAAGCAAGCTCCTTTTTTTTTTTTTTTTTACAGGTTCAGAAGTTTACCTAAGGAGAGAGCTTATTTGCTGGGGAGACAGTGTTAAATTACGCTATGGGAATAAACCAGAGGACTGTCCTTTTCTCTGGGCACACATGAAAAAATACACTGAAATAACTGCAACCTATTTCCAGGGAGTACGTCTCGATAACTGCCACTCAACGCCTCTTCATGTAGCTGAGGTACAGAAATACAATTCATCTACATTAGGCAAAGAAATGTAGTATTCATTCTTTGCTTCCTTAAATAAAATATACAAGTACACGTTTCCTTTTGCTCGTTGGATACCAGCATTGATTTGGTGGTAGTAGTTAACACTTCAGCATAATTTCACACTAATAATAAAATCTTTTGATGCAGGTGTTAGGGAATACTGGGCTATAAAATGTTTAACAAGTTAATATTTTTATTTCAGTTTAGGGAAGTAGATCATATTGTCTCTGATAACACATACATAACCAAATTGCCATGTATATTGTTAAAATATTACTAATATTTTATTGTTAATTTTTAAAGGATTGATATTAATGTTTTAATAATATGCAAATATCTATCTTATTGTTATTCTTAGGTTGCTTTTAATATATTAATAAACACTGTGAAGTCACTTGTTACATGTTATTATGTAAGCACTAACATTACAGTATATTAAACCTCATTTTAGCCCCATTGTTTAGCCCCATTTTATTGCTTATTTATAAAGTGTAGTATAAACAAAGGTTGTTTATCCCTCTTTGGGCTTTTTACAGAAATTGAAACAATGCCAATATTTATAGCATTATCTTCTACCTAACATAGCTTTGTAAACACAATTTTCATCCTGCTAATAAGATCTTTGGTAGCTTCCTAGTGATAACTTAGTGCTCTTTGGGAATGTATGCTTATCTGGAAAACACTTATTTCTATTTTTTTAAGGCAGCATTATAATGAGTATGTTTCAAATCATATGGTGAAAAATTGATTTGCTTTGGAAGAATTCAGTGAACATTAGTTGACAGAACAATTTTTAGCTCCAAAAACTAGCAAAGGTTTTTCCTTATTATGCTTTTAGCAACAGCAAAATATATATATAATTATAAGATTATTGTAACATTTTGGCAAAACAAAAAATTAAAACTCAATTTGCATAATTTTGAGTTACAAAATCTTCTAGCACCCTACTTGATAGCTGATAGAATTCAAATTATTTTTTATTAAATTTTATGCAAACATGTCAAAAAAAATTGGAACCAATTTGATTTCTGGTTAATAAGAGTTTATTACCATTTTTTAGGAAAAGTTGGCTTTATAAAGTATAGTCAGACTTAATCTTTGCAATAGCTAGATAACTCACCGTAGGGAATTTAGCTTCCCTAAATAATGGCTTCGTCAACTGCCTGCAAGTTAATAGTTTAGAGGTATTGAAAAAACATGTAAAACAGGGTGAAAGCTTAGCAGAATCAGTCTTATGGTTTACATTTTTTAATGTGACACTGATATTTTTCTTCTTCCTTTTTTCCCCCTTTGTGTCTCTATATTTTTGCAAATTCTAATCCTTTTTAACTATTTTATTTTCTTTATAAATTCTGTTTCTGTGTATTTCTTACATATGCACAATTAAATTTCTTTGGAAATTCTTCTGGGATTTCAATTTTGTCTTGTTCCATGACATGTTCAAATCTGTGCCCAGTCTTGTCTCCTTTCCTTCCCCCAAACTTTCTTTTCTCTTTGTGTTACATTTGTGACTGTGCTTTTTGCAGTACATGTTGGATGCTGCTAGGAAATTGCAACCCAATTTGTATGTAGTAGCTGAACTGTTCACAGGAAGCGAAGACCTGGACAACATCTTTGTTACTAGACTTGGCATTAGTTCCCTAATAAGAGGTAGGCTTGTTGAAGTGTATTTCTCATCTAAAACTTTAGTTTTTGTTTAAGCCAATTAAAAAGCATTTAGTAGCATTATATACAATGTTTAATAATTTTCAAAATAGTGTTCTTTAAATACTTCACACAAAATTTTCTATAACTCAGTCTCTTTTTATCAAGAAAAATTTCCACTTTGGGGTAAAATATCCCATTTTAAATTGAAAGACCAGTAGGATGAATTGATGACTCGTGAACAAAATCACTTGTTTTTGAAAATACACAAATCTGTTTTAATCTCCTACTTTGATAAATGAGATGATCTTAGATTTTTTTCCTGTAGATTTTATATAACCAACATCCTACTAAAAAACATGTTTCCTTTTACCTCCAGGAGCCATTTCTCTAATTATAGAGAAGACTTTTTTGTCAGTTAAACTAATAGACATTTGTTTAAATGTTTAAAGTGGTTTTATTTTTGATAATATTTATGCAGTCTTTTTTTGGAAAGTTAGTCATGATAAGAGACTAACCTCTTCTTGAACAATAATAATGAAGACCATTAAAATATTCTATAATGCTTTGCAGAGGCAATGAGTGCATATAATAGCCATGAAGAGGGCAGATTAGTTTACAGATATGGAGGAGAACCTGTTGGATCCTTTGTTCAGCCCTGTTTGAGGCCACTAATGCCAGCTATTGCACATGCTCTGTTTATGGATACTACCCACGATAATGAGTGTCCTATTGTGGTAAGCATCAAATCTGTTTCTTTTATTTACTTATTTTGCTAAACTCATACGTGGAATTTAAGAAGAGGAACAGATGAACATGGCCCCCCATGAAAGAGAGAGGCAAATCATAAAGCAGACTCAGCTGTAGAGAACAAACAGGGTTGCTGGAGGGGAGGTGGTCAGGGGATGGGCTAAAAGGGTGATGGGTATTAAGGAGGGCACTTGTGAGCACTGGGTATATATAGTAAGTGTGGAATCACTCAAGTGTAGAAACACATGAAACTAATATTACATTCTGTTAACTAACTGGAATTTAAATAACTTGAAAAAGGAAAATATAAATAAATGTTTTGATGTTCGGTTCTCTGATATTTAGTGGCAATAATATGCATATACTTCAAAATCATGTCTTAGGGCAGCCCCGGTGGCTCAGCGGTTTAGCGCCACCTTCAACCCAAGGCCTGATCCTGGAGACCTGGGATGGAGTCCCACATCGGGCTCTCTGCATGGGGCCTGCTTCTCCCTCTGCCTGTGTCTCTGCACCTCTCTCTCTGTCTCTCATGAATAAATAAATAAAACCTTTAAAAAAACAAAAAACAAAATCATGTCTTATATTTATAAGTGATTGGGTCCATAGTTTTTGAATGTTTTGTTAGTTTTAAAGCAAATTAATGTCTCTTAGTATATAACTATAGAACTATTCTTTTACTTCATTGTGCTATAGGATGGCACTTTGCATTTGAAAGAAAATAAACCTTGGTTTTTTTTTTTTATTGTTTTTCAGCATAGGTCAGAATATGATGCTCTCCCAAGTACCACGATTGTTTCTATGGCATGTTGTGCTAGTGGAAGTACTAAAGGCTATGATGAATTAGTGCCTCATCAGGTATGTTTATGTGTTGTTTTTTTTTTAAGTCCACATGGCCAACAACTTTGAGCATTTTTACCAAAAGTTCTCATTATAATTAAAATGTATACATGGCTGAGTTTTAACTTTGTTCAGATTTCAGTGGTTTCTGAAGAACGGTTTTATACTAAGTGGAATCCTGGAGCATCTCCATCAAATACAGGTGAAGTTAATTTCCAAAGTGGAATTATTGCAGCCAGATGTGCTATCAATAAACTTCATCAGGAGCTTGGGGCCCAGGGTTTCATTCAGGCAAGAAACTAAATTTTTGTAAGTTTCTTAACATTCAATTTCAGAGTAAGTCATCCCAGTTTGAGTGCTAGTATGTTTTCTTTTTCTGTTTCTCAGGTGTATGTGGATCAAGTTGATGAAGACATAGTGGCAGTAACAAGACATTCACCCAGTATCCATCAGTCTGTTGTGTCTGTGTCTAGAACTGCTTTCAGGAATCCTAAGACTTCATTTTACAGCAAGGAAGTGCCTCAAATGTGCATCCCTGGTAATGCAACCTAAAAATATTATTGTGATAATATTATATTGTTTTATTAAATCATACTAGGTTATATTAAATTGTTCTTATACATCGTATATAATAACACAGTGCAAGTGTGGTTGTAGCTGAGAAAAAGAATTCGAAATTTTACATAACTTGAGGCACCAGGCTGGCTCAGTTGGTAGAGTGTGCAACTCTTGATCTTGGGGTCATGAGTTCAAGCTCCATGTTGGATGTAGAGTTTACTTTAAAGAAAGGAAGGAAAGGGGACACCTGGGTGGCTCAGCAGTTGAGTGCCTGCCTTCGGCCCAGGGCATGATCCTGGAGTCCGAGATTGAGTCCCACATCAGGCTCCCTGCAGGGAGCCTGCTTCTCCCTCTCCCTCTGCCTTATGTCTCTGCCTCTCTCTCTGTGTCTCTCATTAATAAATAAAGTATTTAAAAAAAAAAGAAAGGAATAAAAGGAAGGAAGAAATTAATTTGGGGCAACTTACATTTTTATTACATGGAAAAATACCTGGACAGAAATATTCTCAAATATTAACATTTTTTTGAGTTGTGAAATAGCTTCATTTTCATCTTTTTTCAAAAAAAGTTTTTATTTATTTATTTGAGATAGAGAACATAAGGGAGAGAGAGAAAGCACTAGCAGGAGGAAGGGGAAGAGGGAGAAGCAGACTCCCCACTGAGTAGGGAACCCTGGAACTCTGTCCCAGGACTCTGGGATCATGACCTGAGCTAAAGGCAGACACACCCGACTGAGCCACCCAAGTGCCTTTTATTTTCATCTTAATTCATTCTCTGTTTCCTAATTTGTATAACAAACATGTATTTCTTTTATACCTAGGAAATATATGTGTATATTCATGTGTTTGTATATATGTATATACGTGTATATTTGTAGAGGATCTAAGTGTATATTTGTGTATGTGCATGTACATACATATACACATATATAAACCAAGTGAAAAATAGTTTAATATTTAAGTTTAAGTAGCAATTCCTAATTTAAGATGGTTTAATATGAAATTTCTTTGACATTTTTATATATTCATAGGCAAAATTGAAGAAGTAGTTCTTGAAGCTAGAACTATTGAGAGAAATACAAAACCTTATCAGAAGGATAAGAATTCGATCAATGGAATGCCAAATATCACAGTAGAAATTAGAGAACATATTCAGGTATTTGGAACTCTTATCTTACTACTGTGTTTAACATCTTGAGGACATTAGAATTATTGATTGAATTGTTTTATACAATTTTTTTCAAGCTTAGTGAAAGTAAAATTGTTAAGCAAGCTGGAGTTGCCACAAAAGGACCCAATGAATATATTCAAGAAATAGAATTTGAAAACTTGTCTCCAGGAAGTGTCATTATATTCAGGTATGTTGGAGTTCAAACCGTTGACTTTATTTGTAAAATAGAATACATATTCTGTTAATTTTGAATAAATCATTCCTAAAAAAATAACCACTTTTTAATTAATATTTTCAGAGTTAGTCTTGATCCACATGCACAAGTCGCTGTTGGAATTCTTCGAAATCATCTGACACAGTTCAGTCCTCACTTTAAATCTGGAAGCCTTGCTGTTGAAAACTCAGATCCTATATTAAAAATTCCTTTTGCTTTGTAAGTATGCCTTTGTTTATGGAGATTTGCCATTTAATAACTGATAAGTTTTCACAAGCCTGGTTTAAGCAGTTTTAAGGGTCCTCAATATCCTTCCTACTCAGACAGTGGTCTGAGGACCAAGAGTAATGTCAGCATCATCTTTTGTTAACATTTTGTCCTATTACTTTATCATTGGTGTATGTGCTTGCATGTGTGCACTCTCACAGTCATGCAGTCTCTATATGTAGCTATAGATTCAAGCAAAAATACACATATATATCTGTACACACATGCACACAGTTTTTTGAACTGAGGTTAAGTTGCATACACCATATTCATTACCACACCGTTTTTTAAATATTTTTTTTTTGAAGTAGGCTCCACACCCATTGTGGGGTCTGAACTCATGACCCTGAGGTCAAGAGTCACATACTCTTCCCTCTGAGCCAGTCAGGTACCCCAAGCTAAATTTTTTGTTTTTGTTCATTGGCTGTGTATTTATTCAGTGAAATATCATTTTATGTACTAAGCCATTTTTCTATTGTGCTCAACTTTTTATAAGAGCTTTCATCATTTAGGATATTAACTCTTTATTCAAACTATTAGGAAAGTAGTTGCATTTTTAAAAACTCTGATGAAGCAATTTTATGTTTCTGTAGAATGCTTATAAAATACATAAAATAAAATGCATTAAAAAAATGATGGTTATTGATCTTCAGACCTACTCAGATTATCCTTGAGCAAAGCCAAGAAATCTGCATTTTAATAAGCTCCAGGTAATTTGTATGCAAGTTCACTGGCTACATGTCAAAAAATATTTGCCTAGGATGAAGTTGATACTGAGGCTGCTGATTAATTTGATTAAACTTGATTCACAAACTGCAAATGAAGGAAGAGTCAGTCCTGGCTGAGAGGACAGAGTCTGTCAGAAATAAGGAACAAAGCACAGCCAACTATAATTCTCTCAGTTTTATAGAATGAAATGACCTGAATAGCTAAAATTACAAAAAAAAAATAGAGTTTGGGTTATATTCAAGTGTGGTCAGTTAGACAGTCTCACTACTACCTGGACAAAGAGAAACCAAAGCCATGATAGACACTTGCTTCTGACTATTATCAAGAGGCATCCTTATCTAAGAAGATCCTGGTTTCTTGAATAACCCAGTTAACGGGCAGTGCAACCTTAAGAGGCGATAGAAGGGAAAGGAGAGAAATGCTACATGACTTCTGAGGTGGTTAACTGTGACTTTTGATTATCTCTTTGCTGGTCCTTGACAAGTATTTTGATTTTAAGATAATTGGCATAAAAAGTCATTGATGTCCCACTTAGGAGAATATAAAGAAGGAGGAAAAAACCCAAGCCCATCTAGAAAGATTTAAAAAGCAAATTTGTGAGAAAAAGGTTGTAGCAACCAAAAGATATTTCCAGCATACTTCTAAGTAATAAAATTTGGCAATTGATCATTTTCTTGGCTTGAACTAAACATCACTTCTAACTGAATCCTTAGCATGTTTTATCCATTAATTATTATTTATAATGTATGTTGTTTATAATGTATATCATAATGCTGAGTTCCAAAAACATATATTGTGGTTAAAATATTTTATGGTTATGGTTCAGATTTTTCTTCTTTATTTTTATTGACAGCAGGTGAACTTTTACTGTATTTAACCATTTCTCTTTATTTTCCACTTCTTAGTATTGCCTCAAAATTAACTTTGGCTGAGCTGAATCAGGTACTTTACCGATGTGAAGCAGAAGAACAAGAAGATGGTGGAGGCTGTTATGACATACCAAACTGGTCATCTCTTAAATATGCAGGTCTCCAAGGTAAACAAATACAAGGATAGTTAAGCTTTGAGATTTTTTTGTTTTTGTTTTTTAAGGATCATATGATGTCTTCTTTATAAAATTAAAGTATGGGCTCAGAATTCAACTGCTTAAATTCAAATTGTGGCTCTGCCACCTACTCAGTCATTGACCTCCAGCAAGTAACTTCACCTCCCTGTGCCCCGATTTCTGCTGCTATAAAATGTGAATAATATTCCTGTCTAAGTCATAGGCTTTTTTGAAGACTAAATGAGAACATTTATTTGGGCCCCAAATACATTCATCTTCCTTTCTCATCTATCTGGAAGCTTTGTTGCCTTGCATAGTTGCTTTATCCTACAAAGAGAAACTTACAGCAAAATACTATGTAGTTAGAGTAGTTATAAGACAGGATATAGGACCTAATTATTTAACTGTTTAACCCATATAGTTGGAGATGTTTTCTTGGATTTTTATCTAGGAAATTTGATTTATCACACATGTGTTCCCAGTTTATATAGTATTCCACATTTCATGCCTCCTTTGCAACTCCTTATTTTCTTTGTCCATCTAACCCATCTTTAAGTATGAGTTTGATGCTTACATTTTCCACAAAGAATTCCTTGACTATTACTTTTCACAGTAATATTTTTGTCCCCTGGATATCCATTGCATTAATTTACTGTACCTCTTATTTGGCTCTTGGAATATATTGTCTTACTTTAAATTAGTACAGTGTGCTTTGTGAATATTTATTATTGTGTTTAGGAATGGGTTGTAGTGGGGATCCTGGTGGCTCAGCGGTTTGGTGCCTGTCTTCGGCCCAGGGCGTGATCCTGGAGTCAAGGAATTGAGTCCCGCATCGGGCTCCTTGCATAGAGTCTGCTTCTCCCTCTGCCTGTGTCTGCCTCTCTCTGTGTCTCTCATGAATAAGTAAATAAAATCTTAAACAAAAAAAAAAAAAAAAAAGAATGGGTTATAGAGGGACACCTGGGTGGTTCAGGGATTGAGCGTCTGGCTTTGGTTTAGGGAATGATCCCGGAGTCTTGCATCAGGCTTCCTGCATGGAGCCTGCTTCTCCCTCTGCCTCTCTCTCTCTCTGTGTCTCTCATGAATAAATAAATAAAATCTTAAAAAAAAAAAAAAAAAAAGAATGGGCTGTAGAACCAGACTCCTTGAGTTGGAGTAAACTCTATATGGCTCAGTTTTCTCATCTGTAAAATGGAAATAATAATAGTACCTACCACAAGGTTTAAATGACTTAATTCACATAAAGCACGTAGACCATGCTTAGTTCATAGCAGGTAGATTGTACCTTAAAAAAGAAGAATTTTTGCCCTTTTTACATTCTTGGTTTTTAGCTTTTGTACTTTCTACAAAACCTAGCACATAAGATGCTCTCAATAAATTTCCTTTAGGCTTCTGTACTTACGACAGTTTTTTTCTAAAGCAGTCTCACTTTCAACACAAAGTGTTTTGTGCTGTGAGAAATACAGAAATGTATATGTTACTTGTCATAGACTGCTATTTACTCCATTTTTCACTCTGAACGTTGAACTCTGTCTGGTACTTGACTGGAAAGACCACACTTTTGTGAACTTCTTTTCTGATCTTTGTCTTTCTTAAAGTTAAGTCTAGTTCTTTACTAACTCTCCTGATTTACTTTTTACTTTATATCAATCACTTTTTTCTCTGACAGTCGAAGATCTCCAATATTCCACTGGGTATTTCTTGCAGGCTGTTAATAGCAACATCCAATTAAGTCAGATTTACCAACTTCGTTGACTTTCTGTCCCCTAAACAAAATTCCCCTTCTCTTCTTCCTTGTTTATAGTAGTATGTATTCAGTCATGTTGGAATCCAGGAATCTGTTTTTGGATCTGTACCTTTTATCTGCAGTATTCAGTCAGTAATTGTGACTGGACTTTTTTCTGTGTTCTCTGTGGTATACCATATCTTTTTATTTTCATAGTTAACACCCTATTTAAAGACTAAATCCTGTCTCCAAAACCAAGTAACCAATTTTCCAACTTTTTGAAACCTCTTCCACAAAACATTCCGCCCCATTGATCAGATCTCTTTTTCTAAAATGCTGCTCCATCGTGTCACTATTATTCAACAAGTGAAACTTATATTTACTGAGCAATATTTGCCTTCCCCAAAAATGTTAGAGCAAAAGTGGAACATTATTTTATACTGTCTTGTTTTCTAGTTTTGTTTTTTGTTGTTGTTGTTGTTGTTGTCTTTTATGTTTTAAGCTTTGTTTCCTGAAGGAGGCTGTAAGCCCCTTGAGGGGAAAAAAACTACATCTTAAATTTATATATTTATTTTTTAATTTCTCAAGACCTGCTGTATACACAGTAAAATTAAACCCTAAATATATAAATAAATTTAGTCAATTAATTTGATGAGGCTATTTATTTAATATTTTTAAGGTGGAAATTATTACATTATTGGGTAATGAAAGAAGTACTATTGTTCTGTCATTGAAATAACAATCTGTATACACAGAATTCTAAGTTTCTCTTTGAGCATTACTTAAGGATATGCCCGTATACCTCACCTTGATAGCTTGTTTAGTTCTAACTTCCTTTTATTATATTTCAAGGAATCTTTCCTTTTTTTTTTTTTAAGATTCTATTTAGTTATTCATGAGAGACACAGAGAGAGAAGCAGAGACACAGGCAGAGGGAGAAGCAGGCTCCCTGCGAGGAGCCTCATGTGGGACTAGATCCCGGGACTCCAGGATCACGCCCTGAGCAAAAGGCAGATGCTCAACCACTGAGCCACCCAGGCATCTCCAAAGATTCTGTCCAAAGCAGGCTTTATTATTATCACCAGAGATGATTTTGCTCTCTCTGAAACTAGTCCTGTGATTTCCTGAATATTAATGATTCCACCAGTTTTCAACATGAGAAGATACAGACTTATCTTTTTCCCCTAATGCCTTAAGTCAGGGAAACTGCCAGCTACTTGCCTTTCGATATTATAATATTAAAATTCAGTAAACATGTCGAGTCCCAGAAGTTAGGAATCTTGGAAAGCTCTGCATAGCCCCTGTGACAATATCCCCTTCAGTATGTCTTTGTATCTCGGGTCAATGTTACCACGCTTATCTCCAGCCATGGGAAGTCCCACTGTGGTCTTTGCAGCCCTTTATCTACCTCTGTATGTGTTCACTCCAAATCATTAGAGACAGCAATAGCCCAGTCATTGGGAACAAATTGCCTCTGCCAATAACTGCATGATATTTCTATGAATTTTCAGGGTTAATGTCCGTCTTGGCAGAAATAAGGCCAAAGAATGACTTGGGGCATCCCTTTTGTGATAATTTGAGATCTGGAGATTGGATGATTGACTATGTCAGTAACCGGCTTATCTCTCGATCAGGAACTATTGCAGAAGTAAGTAAAACTATTCTAGTTCAAAAAACAAGGAAACAATAAAAACTATATTACTATGGTATAAATAAAATAGACATAGTTTTCTAGCCTGAAATATTTTCCTCCCTTCTTCATCATCTTCCAGTTCTAAAAAATGGAAATCCGGTTGATAGATTACTAGGTAGTAGAGCTACATGTTTGGATTTACCGCTTAAAATATACCTAGCCTAAAAAAATAAATAAATAAATAATACACCTAGCCTGTAAAGACACCAAATTAACTTTTAAAATTATTTTTATAACAGGTTGGTAAATGGTTCCAGGCTATGTTCTTTTACCTGAAGCAAATCCCACGTTATCTTATCCCATGTTACTTTGATGCTATATTAATTGGTGCATACACCACTCTTCTGGATATAGCATGGAAGCAGATGTCAAGGTATGTACAACAAACCTTGAGTAAATAGGCATGTTTGTGTAGAAAACATATACAGTCAGTTTATATACTCTTGAAAGACCAAAACATAAAGAATTGTCATAGATTCATACAGTTGAAAAATTTGTTAAGTGGATAGTAAATGTATTTGCATCCTTTAATCTGGAGCATACAAAAACAAACAGGGGTATTAAAATCTCTTCAGTAAAGCTAAAAAACCATGTTCATGGGAAAATTTAATTGTCTCATGTTACTGGTTTCTATTTATTCATTGACTTGTTAATAGATAAAATTTTTAGAAAATGCATGCACAGTTCTTTTTCTAATTTTTTGTCAATAGAAAAGTTACTCTGATATTTTTTTAATAATAAATTTATTTTTTATTGATATTCAATTTGCCAACATACAGAGTAACACCCAGTGAAATGAATTTACCTTTATTGGTACATTTCCCTAAAATGAAATTACAGATCAGAATGTGCCACTGAAGAGCCACCAAATTGATTTGGGCATGATTTCAGAAAGAACAAAACTTAAGCCCTTCCATTTGTTGCACAACAGGCTTTGGACTTGAAGCCAGCTATAATATTGGGTAAAATGAAAGCAGTTCTGAAATCTAACCAAATTGGAAACCTTCAGCCAATATTTACTGTTGTTACACATCTAATAGACTATTTGAAAGAAACAAATTAAAATGATACTGCTAAAAAATTCTGAAACATAGTGTATGCGAGATGAGTAAGTTCTAGAGATCTGCTGTGTAATATTGTGCCTGTAAATATTATTGCGTTGTCCACTTAAAAATCTGTTAAGAGAGTAGATTTCAGGTTTTAACACAATAAAATTTTTAAAAAGAAATAAAATTTTTGTATTTCTACAAATAATATTTTAAACTCAGTCACTTTGTTACAGCTTTGTTCAGAATGGTTCTACCTTTGTGAAACACCTTTCACTGGGATCAGTGCAAATGTGTGGAGTAGGAAAGTGCCCTTCTCTGCCACTTCTTTCACCTTCACTTATGGATGTACCATATAGGCTAAATGAGATCACAAAAGAAAAGGAGCAATGTTGTGTGTCTCTAGCTGCAGGTAAGAAATCACATACAGGTGAAAAATGTGTTAGTCAATATTATTCAAAAAGGTAAAGTTACAGGGAAATCATTATAAAAAAAAGACTCATGATGTTATCCAAAATTTTATGAGACTGCTTAGTAAAATTTCATAGATATTCACTTGTAGAACTAATATTTGTACTTACTATTTAATTAATACTGTGCAACAGGCATTATTTATGTGTTTTTCATTGTTGCTGATTAATCCTTTTCATGTTTCTGTTTTTTTGAACTCTTGACATTTCGTATTTTTTATCAGATTTGTTTTACTAGGGATCCCTGGGTGGCGCAGCGGTTTGGCGCCTGCCTTTGGCCCAGGGCGCGATCCTGGAGACCCGGGATCGAATCCCACATCGGGCTTCCAGTGCATGGAGCCTGCTTCTCCCTCTAACTGTGTCTCTGCTTCTCTCTCTCTCTCTCTGTGACTATCATAAATAAATAAAAATTAAAAAAAAAAAAGATTTGTTTTACTATGTTTAATCTTACACTTTTTTCCAAATTTAAGAAATTAACTCAATCTTGTAAATTACCAAGAGATAATGGAAAGATCCTCTACAAGTTACAAAACAAAACAAATGTAAAAAACAAAACAAAACAAAACAAATGTTAAATAATTTTTTATCATATGTCTCATTGCAATCAAATGCTTTCAACTGTATTCTTTTGGCATCCTTTCCTGCAAGTAGCATTAAAACCTGAATCAAGTAACAAATCTAAGTAAGCAAAATAGGCTAAAGAACAGGCTTTTATTTTCTTTTTTAATGTATTTCAAGCTATTTATAGAAAGTGCTTAATATTTATTTAAGGCCACTGAATTTAGAACTTTCCAAGATAAACTGAAAAGTACCAAATTGCAGGATGACAGTAATAGTACTTATGTGATTTCCTCTTTTTACCCTTAAATTTGCATCTACCCAGACCAAGAAAAAAGACTTAGTAAGAACTGACAACTAAAAAAGAAATTAACTTTTCATTTAGGATAATCATATGTTTTAATTACATAATCATGTTTTAGATTTTCACTCAACTATGTCATCTCCTCCTGGTCTTATATTTCCCCTCTAAATCCATGCAGATACTCATGAAACTGAACTGGGTCATTGAGGAAAAAAAAATTGATATGCAGAAAGTGGTTCTAAAGCCTACTGCTTAGAAGCCTATTACACAAAATAGTGATCTCAACATTCTTGATTATTCACTGCTGTTGTTAAACACTCCCAAAATAAATATACTGATAATACCAAGTATATTTATAATCAGGTATAGTATAAAACAAAAATAGAAACTAAAAAGATATGTTGATAAATATAAATAGAAGTTTTGATATTTGCTTCCAGTGTTGCAGGGGAGTGTTCTATATACTCCATACTAACAAAATATAGGACTGTACTCAGATTTGCAGACAGGTTTTTGGGGGTTCATTTTAAAATGCATACCAAAGCCTTTGGTGACAGTGGTACAAAAAATTATAATTTTAGACTTGGATAATAAATGACAAGGTAGAAATCACAAGATAGTGATCTATAAATCCTATACTCTTAGAGGTCAAAAGTTAACATAAACATTGCTACATATTAGTGCTAGAGATTTTATAGTTTTGACATCTTAACAAAGACCAATTGCCTGTACTTTAGGACATATGAGCTCAATACCACCCTTAAATCTATCTATATTCATATTTCATACAAGGTGTTAAATGGGTTAAAGTACCAGGAAGTCTGTGTGGCATAGAATACTATATATGTTAACTGCTGTTCTCATCATCATCAAAGTTACAATCATCAACCTCATATGAACCATGTCAATAATCAACCATGTGTAAATAATACACAGAGTATTTAGGAAATTTTATACCATTATTTTGGAGATGATGTAGAAAAGAAGTTTAGTTCTGAGCCTTTTTAGAAAATAATGTCTACCCTCCATAAGGTGAAGACCCAATAAGCAGAAACTTAAATTTTGAAGTATACTTAGAAATGGCCAAAATTTTCTTTTATCTAGCCAAATTATTTTGCCTCTCAATTTACCTCTTATAATTAGCTTTTTATTTTTCATTCATTTAGTAAATTTTTATATACATTATTTATATTACATACCAGTTACAATTTTCAGTGACAGTTACAGTTTGGTAAATAAGCCAAATAAGGTTTCTGTAACTGTGAATCTTATTTTCCACTAGGGAGAACTAGGGAGAGACAGTTATTCATTCAACAAACTGGAAAACAAGCAAACAATAATGTCAGATATGTTATGAATGAATGATTATGTTATGAATGAATACTGTATACATTTTATATAAGTCCTTAATTTTCCCTTCCTGAAATATGTCTTGTATTTTTGCTTTAACATAGCTCTTTTTTTGAGTAGAATGCTAGTTTCCTTTACTTTCCCATTGATTATTGTTTTTAGTACCAATGAGAATAACAGTGTATCCTTGACATGTTTTATAAGAAACCAAATTCAGGGGATGCCTGGGTGGCTCAGCGGTTGGGCTCCTGCCTTCAGCTCAGGTTGTGATCCAGGGATCCGGGATCGAGTCCCACATCAGGCTCCCGGTGTGGAGCCTGCTTCTCCCTCTGCCTATGTCTCCGCCTTTCTCTCTCAGTCTGTCTTTCCTGAATAAATAAATAAATCTTTAAAAAAAAAAAAGAAATCAAACTCAGTCTAGAAGTAAAACTTAAATTTTATCCATCAGTCACCCTATTTTTATCTCGTGCCTAAAGGTTACAGTTACCTAGAATGTTCAAGTTATTTGGCACCTGAAGTCCTTATTTTTATTTGGAAAAACTGGCCAACAAACTGTGACATTCTTAAGTTGTCTTGAATTAATGGGAAATTTGGTATTAAAATTTGACTCTAGGGCAGCCTGGGTGGCTCAGCGGTTTAGTGCCACCGTAGGCTCAGGGTGTGATCCTGGAGACCCAGGATCGAGTCCCACATCGGGCTCCCTGCATGGAGCCTGCTTCTCCCTCTGCCTGTGTCTCTGCCTCTCTCTCTCTGTGTCTTTCATGAATAAATAAACAAAATCTTTAAAAAAAATAAGATAAAAGAAAATTTGACTCTAGATTAATAGGTTAATAAACATGTTTGGTTATCATTAAGATAATCATTTCATATCTAGATTTTTTTTAAAGATTTTATTTATTTATTCATGAGAGACACACCCACACAGAGAGAGAGAGGCAGAGACAGGCAGAGGGAGAAGCAGGCTCCATGCAAGGAGCCTGATGTGGGACTCAATCCCGGGTCTCCAGGATCACACCCTGGGCTGCAGGCGGCACCAAACCGCTGCGCCACCGGGGCTGCCCCTCATATCTAGATTAATTTGTTGCCTCTAATTGCAGGTAGAATCTTTTTAGATATATCATTAATATTATATGGCACAGCTTTCTCTCGACTTTGTCTACTTTCATATCTGGAGAATGTACTTTATACGTTTATAAACTTTCACACTTGTGTTACTAAAGTGTGTGTGTATATATATATATATATATATATATATATATAATGTTTTTATATGTTAAATATTAGATCTCTGATTTCAACCTTTAATTTATTAAAAGAAAGTTTATCTGTGTATAAAGACTCACATTATAATCAATTTAGGTAAGCATCCCTCTCTAGCCCTGATTGTTTTTTTGTTTTTTTTTTTAAAGAATTTATTCATCAGAAACCGAGAGAGAGAGAGAGAGAGAGAGAGAGAGAGAGAGAGAGATAGGCAGAGGGAGAAGCAGGCTCCATGCAGAGAGCCCGTTGTGAGACTCCATCCTAGGACTTCAGGATCATGCCCTGGGCCAAAGGCTTGTACTCACCTGCTCAGCCATCAAGGGGTCCCTCTAGCCCTGATAGTTAATCTCTTTGAAGTCATAGATTCCCTTAAGAATGTAGTAAAAAAATTTTAAAAAATTTAAAAAGAAGAAGAATATGGAACCTCATCACACAAATATTGGCATAGGTTTGGGCACACATGTTGCAGAATTTTAGAGGGTTTGCAGACTCCCTCATTCTTGTTCCCCAAGCTTAGAACAACTGGCCTATGGTAATGAGTTCATAGCCTTATGTGTATTATTCAGATTAACATATTACTTTGTTGTGTTTTCTGTTAGGCTTACCTCATTTTTCTTCTGGTATTTTCCGCTGTTGGGGAAGGGATACTTTTATTGCACTGAGAGGTCTACTGCTGATTACTGGACGCTATTTAGAGGCCAGGTAGGAGATCTCTAAAAAGTTGAAATGCCAGTTTATATCTAAATGTTTTCACATGCTCTTCAAACTTTCCTTCTTACCATCTGTTTGTAACATTTGTGAGGTATGTTTTTCCTTAAGTATTTTTTTTTTACATGTTCATTTCATAAGATGATAGGATTTCAAAAGAGTGAAAATCCTTGAAGTCACTAAATTTTAGTCCTTTATGTTACAGGTCAGGTTATCTTCAGTATTTGCTAATTAATTTCAGTAAAACTAAAAAAATGTGTAACCATGTTAACTACTCACTAAAGAGTAAATTTCTATGCCTGAATTAAGTATAAGTACTCAGATTAGTGGTGGATCCCTGGGTGGCTCAGGATCCCTGGAGTCCAGGATAGAGTCCCACATCAGGCTCCTTGCATGGAGCCTGCTTCTCCCTCTGCCTGTGTCTCTGCCTCTCTTTGTCTCTCTGCATCTCTCATGAATAAATAAATAAAATCTTAAAAAAAAAAAAAAAGAACTCATTAACTTTTAGGTAAAATTCGAATTCTATCATTTTTTTTCCTTCTATAATGAAGACTGAGTCCTGTAGAAAGAATTATACCATCAGGTTTTCCTCTATGTATTGTCAGGCCTAGTAACCTCCAGGTTTGTCTTTTAGACTTAAAATAGTGTTTTCTTAATATCAGAATAATATGAATGAAATTATCAAAGGTAGAAAAGTGAAGCTGTACAGCAGTGCCACTCAAAGCAGCACAAATCAGTACTACAAATCAGTGGTGTCACCATCTCCTGAGAACTTGTTAGAAATGCAAATTCTTGGTCCTTATGCTGAACTTCTGAATATAGGGATGGAGAAGGTAGAGTAACAGATGGAAATCTGTGTTTTCACAAGGGCTCCAGGTGATCTTCTGCAGCCCAAGGCTCTACAAATTAAAACTTTCATCGGAAAAAGCATTTATATGATACCTTGTGTTGATGTCATTCGAAAAAAACTGAAGTTTGCCGCTTCAAATGAAAAAAGTTCTGGTTTTGGTCCTTTTAAAATTAAAAATTTATTTTTTAAATTGAAGATTTCTAAGTGGGCATCTGAAACACATTGCATTCTTCCCTGCTAACCTAATACAATAAGACCTTTTCTTATTCAAGAGATCATTATAGGGCTGTAGAAATTTGAGAGGCTGTTTGCTTCCTCCTTAAATACTCCTGACTATGTTTAAGAAGTAGGAAATGGAACATTAGGGTTCAGCACAGTGTAATGGTTAAGAACTTGGGTTGGGGCCAAACTGCCAGGTTCTAACCCTGGTTCTAAACTACCAACTGATACATTATTTATCTTCTTTGTACTCTGTAAAATACTGATAGTACTTACCTTACAGGATTTTTCTAAGGATTTTTTTTTCTAATGTTTTATATTTGGGGGTTGCCCAGGTGGCTCACTTGGTTAAGCGTCTGACTTTGGCTCAAGTCATGATCTCAGGATCCTAGGCTGGAGCCCCGCATCTGGCTTCTTGATCAGTGGGGAGTCTGCTTGTCCCTCTGCCCCTCCCCCCAATCGTGCTCACTTGCTCTCTCACTCTCTCTTTCTCAAATAAATAAAATCTTTTTGAAAAAAGATTTTTTTGAGAGTAATCTCTTCACCCAGCATGGGGCTCAAACTTACAACTCCAAGATCAAGAGTCACATGCTCAAGCCACTGAGCCAACCAGGCACCCCTAGAGAGGATTAAATGAACTAATACAATTAGGATCTGTCACATGCTAAGCATTGCATAAATGTTAGTTTTTTAAATCATTATTATTTTGTTGTCTGGGCTCCCAATTATTTCTACATACACTATCAACAATTTCTGCTGCTTAGTTTTATGTTATCTATCTAGATAGATGAGTATTTAGATCAGGGGTCAGAGAAATTTGGCCAATCACCTGTTTTGTATGACCTGGGTGCAAAGAATGGTTTTTAAAGAGTCATTTGAAAAAGAGTAACACAAGACTGGGACCATATATGGCCAACAGAGCCTAAAATATTTACTATCTGGTCCTTTGCAAAAAAAGTTGCCCACTCTGATCTATATGATTCTGAGAGAATAATGTATTTGTTAAGGTAGTGCTAGCTGCTCTAAATTATAAATTCATATATTTCAGTGGTTTTTCACAAATTTATTTCTCATTTCTGGTCCAAAATAGGTATTCAGGAGGCAGCTTTCCATGTAGTGATTCAGGGATCCAGGCTCCTTCATCTTGAGGATCGACCATCTCCTAGTGCCTCTGAGTACTACTCTCTAGTCAACTGGCAGAGAGGGAAGAGCCTGGGAAAAATACAGCTGTTCCATACACTTAACATACACTAGTTCCATTCACATTCTTGCTTTGGAATCCAGTAACCTGGCCACAGCTAGCTAAAAAAGTAGATTGAGGCATATAGGAAAGCCATTTGGTGGGCACAGAGAGTTCTACTTCATCCTTCTGCAGAGGTATTCATGGACAGAGGTCTTTTTATTCAAGTTTCAAGTGTATGACATTGTTCTGGATGGTTACAACTGCTCCATTCTGATTTTATTAATTGAAAATGTCACTGTCCATACTAACATTCTACTGCAGAATACAAGAAAAACCTTTTCTTGCACTATTATTTAAGAGAAAAGCATTAAACTGAGACTTAAAATTAATTAAATTTCTAAATGGTTTAGTCTAGGACATTTTAAATGACTTTTCCTAGGGTATACAGATTGCAATGCTAGGTTTTAAACCCCATTGTTATTTCTTAGTTTCATGCTCTTTTAGAAATGCTATCCCATCTTACAAAGTTGTCATTTGGTATATGATAGTACAGTAATACGTTAAAAGATAAAATATTCTCTGTCAGGTTTTTTAAATAATGATTTTCAAGGTCAGCTTTTACCCATTTGTTTTCTTATGTATTTGCTTTAGTATTTAAAATAATAAAGTTCTTGTCCATGTCGTATTTACCTACATTTTGAAATACCGCAGATTTCAAAAGTAGAATCTAGAGCTATAAGGGACCGTAAAAACCACCTAGTCCAATACCTAAATTGATAGATGAAGAAACTATCCCAGAGAGGGTAAGCTACACAGGTTGTCAAGGAAAAAGCGAAGGCTAGGATTAAGGCTTCAAGCTTTTAATTCAAGGCTTAATCTCTCATATTATGACCATTTTCTACATGAAAATTCAAAGAAATAGGGACAAGAGAGAAAATGCATCTGAAATAATAGTCACAAAAAGGGACTTAAACTTTTTAAGTGATTGTTTTCGTGTTAAATGATCCACTTAATTCTGTTGTTTTAGGAATATAATTTTAGCATTTGCTGGTACCCTGAGACACGGTCTCATTCCTAATCTCCTGGGTGAAGGAACTTATGCCAGATACAATTGCCGGGATGCTGTGTGGTGGTGGCTGCAGTGTATTCAGGATTACTGTAAAATGGTTCCAAATGGCCTAGACATTCTCAAGTGCCCAGTTTCCAGAATGTATCCTACAGATGATTCTGTTCCTTTGTCTGCCGGCACACTGGTAAAAATCCTCTTCAAACATTTTTTTTTCCTTAAAAATAACTTTTAGCTTCTGATATAAAAATGTTTGTAATAAAGATTCCAAATCTGAAAGATTCTTCAAATATTGGTATATGTTTAGCACCTACTGGTTCTATGAGCAATTGCAGAGATAAGACTTGCTTCTTGCTTAAAGAATTTTGAACATGATAGAAGAGATAATGTGTACATAACATGGTCATTGCAAAAAGTGGTGTATGGGAAATGCTATGCATAAAAGGGAGAGAGATCATCTAGTAGATGGTTCTCAGGGAGGACTTCATAAGTAGCTAAAAATTTCACCTAAACTGAACCTTAAAAGATGAGTGGGATTTCAGCAGAGGTGAGAGAAGTTGTGGGAAGACCTCAGAGATGAAAGGAAAAGTAAAGAGCAGGGTAGATTGAAGCACAGTTTAGGACATACTGCTTAGTCTATTTTGGCTTTTTGTATAGGGTACCTGCAGAGTAGTAAGAGTAGGTGGGAAAGGGTAAACCAGGTTGTAGAGCACCTGATGACCAATCCAGGGAGTCCAGAGTTTATCTTATGAACAGTGCAGAATAAATAAACATTCCAAGTGGTTTTCTTCCCAGTCAGTAATGTTCAATGATACTGTACTTTTTCCACTTCTCATCTACCTTTATATTATAACATTTGTCAAAAAAATAAGTTTTTATATAAAGTATCAGTTTATTATGTAATTTACCCCTATTACTATATATGTGGATAAGTAAGAAGAGCAATGCCAATTTAAAGTTTAGATTTCTGTATAAGATAGATACAGTTATTAACTGCACAATTCACTCTAATGGAAACTATAGAAATTCACAAGAATTATTTTCATGTGTCAGCAAAATTATAAACTATTTCATGTCACAGACATGAATAGTCAAAACTACAATACGTTAAATATTCATATGCCAGAGGCTGACTGTATGATTTGGGGTATAGGAACTCCTTTTTTCTCCAGTCCCACCCCTGATCCCCATTTCTTCTCCTAAAGAAAAATCTATGTTTTCACAAAACTTCAGCTGTGGGATTTGGGAGAAGGTAAGAAAAATGTAATTTCTAACAACTAATATCCATTATGTCTCCAACAGGATCAACCACTGTTTGAAGTAATACAGGAAGTCATGCAAAGACACATACAGGGCATACAATTCCGAGAGAGGAATGCTGGTCCACAAATAGACCGAAACATGAAGGACGAAGGTACATAACTTTACATAGTAAAGATCAACTAATGAGGTAGAATTAAACTTTTTATATTATTCATGTATTTGACAAATATTTTATTTGTGTGTAAAACTTCAGAATATCCCAATGAGAGAGATTAACATAGTTCCTGATCTCACTAGTTTAGTTTTAGTTTCTAGAGGAAAGATAAAATTTTATATATTTTGTCAGTCGATTTGAAAGGTAGTTTTGGTGATTGCGTTTATGATCATAATAACGAATGAGTGCTTACTGTGTGCTAGGCATTACGCTAACAGCTTTACCATGTTATTCCCATTTAATACTCCCAAGAACACTAGGGATGAGTTATACTGTTCCCATTTGTGTTGATAAGATGACTGAAGCAGAGTAGCTTGCTTAGAGTCACACAACTACTAAGTGGCAGAGTTAAGGTTTCATTTACAATCTGTGTAACTTAGGGTCTTATAAAATTATTTTTGTAAAAAGTTTTGTCTACACGGTTAAATAGATATACTTTTTTAACCTCTTAGAAGTTCATCATATTCCTATTTTTATGGCATACTATCATCACCGGCCAGTGCAAGGCTAATGATAATTTATTTTATTACTCTATAGAGACTTTCCATATAGGAAGTAATGCAAAGACATATGCAGGGTGACAATATACATATACAATTCTGTGTATTTATTGTCCTTTGAAACATATACTGCTTTTTTGTGCATGTAGATTTTTCTTACTTCTTAATGTTGAAAGAATTAGAGACTGATAGAAATTTGCAAACATGGGGCACTTGGAGGGCTCAGTCAGTTAAGTGCCCGATTCTTGATCTCAGCTCAGATCTTGATCTCAGGATTATGAGTTCAAGCCCACCTGGGCTCCATGTCCAGTATGGAGCCTACTTAAAAAAAAAAAAAGTTGCAAAAATGATATATAAGAGTATCCTGAAGTCTTCATCCAGCTTCCCCAATGAGGATATCTTACCTTACTGTATCTATATCTTACTGTAGTACAATATCAAAATTAGGAAACTGACATTAGTTTAATACTAGTTAACTAGACTATAGACTATATTCAGTTTTAACTATTTTTTAGAGTCTTCTTTAAATTTTTTTTAAAGATTTTATTTATTTATTCATGAGAGACAGAGAGAAGCAGAGACACAGGCAGAGGGAGAAGCAAGCTCCATGCAAGGAGCCTGACGTGGGACTTGATCCTGGGTGTCCAGGATCAGGCCCTGGACTGAAGGCAGCGCTAAACCGCTGAGCCACCTGGGCTGCCCAGTTTTAACTATTTTTACATTAACTCATTTGTGTGTGAGCATGTATGTGTGGTTCTATGTAATTTTGCCCCGTGTATAGTTTCATGTAACCACTACAGCAATCAAGACACTCAACTGTTCGGTCACCACAAAGGTCTTTCTTATGATAACCCCTTTAGAGTCACACCAACAATCCCTGGTCTCTGACAACTGCTAATCTATTATGCATCTTTGTGGTTTTATCATTTTAAGAATGTATATAGATGGAATCATATAGTATGTAACCGTTTGAGATTGGTTCTTTCACTAAGCATAATTCCCTTTGAAATCCATCCAATCTATTACATGTATCAATAGTTTATTCCATTTTATTGCTCAGTGGTATTCTCTTTCATGGATGTAACATTCACCTGTGGAAGGACATTTTGTTTTTTTCCATTTTTTGGTTGATGTAATAAATAAGGCTAATATGAACATTTATATATAGGTGTTTGTAGGAAAATAAATTTTTATTTCTCTGGGACAAATGCCCAAGTATTTGATTGGGCCATATGGTAAGTATGAATTTTTTTTTTAAGATTTTAGTTATTTATTCATGAGAGACACACAGAGAAAGGCAGAGACATAGGCAGAGGGAGAAGCAGGCTCCATGCAGGGAGCCCGACGTGGAACTCCATCCCGGGTCTCCAGGATCACGCCCTGGGCTGAAGGCGGCGCTAAACCGCTGAGCCACGGGGCTGCCCTGAATTTGTTTTTATAAGAAACTGCAAACTATTTTCTAAAGTGGTTTACCATTTTACAGTCCCACCAGCAAACTGGAGAGATCCAGTTTCTCCATGTCCACAGCAGCATTTGATGTTAATCACTTTTTTTAAGCTGTTCTGGTGGTTGGGTATACCACCACCCATTGTGGTTTTAATCTGCATTTCCCTAACAGCTAATGGTATTGAACATCTGTTCTTGTGCTTACTTGTCATCTGTAACTCTTTTTGACGAAATGTGTGTCTTTTGCCATTTTCTAATTGGATTGTTGGGTTTTTTTGTTTTTTTACTATTGGAGATTTTGTATGTGTGGCAAAATGTACATATTTACCATTTTGCCATAAAGTACATAACTTTAACCATTTTAAGTATGCAGTGGCCACTGCATCTCTAGAATTTTTCTCTAGAATTCCATCTCTAGAATTTTTCATCATCCCACACTGAAACTCTGTACCCAATAAATCATAACTCCTTATTCTTTCCTCCCCTAAACCCTATTAACCACTATTCTATTTTCTGCCTCTATAAATCTGACTGTTCTACATACCTCATATACATGGAATCATAGGGTATTTGTTCTTTTGTGTCTGGCTTATTTCGCTTAGCATTGCTATATCAGAGCTGCATATACTATACTTTTGTGCTCTTTGATTAAATACTACCTGATTCACCTGTCTATATTCCCACTAATAATTAAAATGGCTTCTTATGTGTCCATGTGCATGTTCCACTAATCTCATGGGTATAAAGCAACAAGTAATTGTTTTTATTTGCAATTCTATTACTGATGGATTTGAGTATTATTCCTGTTTATTATTTTTTAAGAAAGTTTCCTTTTCTATAAATTGTTCATGTGCTTTGCCTTTATTTATATTTCATCATTCCTATATATTTTCCTTGTTGATTTCTAGGAGTCCCTTGTATATTCATCCATTGTCAGTTTTAGATATTGCACAAACCTTTTCCCAGTCTGGCACCCAACTTAACTTTATCTATGATGTCCTTCACTGTAGTTTATTTCAGAAATCCTACCTGGCCTACAGGTACACAGATAATGTCTCATTTACTTTTATTAACTTTGTAGGCTTGCCTTTTACAAATAAAAAAGAAACAATTCATTCCATTTTAATCCATTCATCTTTTGTCCTTATGGTTCTCTTTTTTTTTCTTAAGATTTTACTTAATCTTAAACTTAAACTGTTATCTTAAAAAAACTTAAACTGTTGTGACTCTACTTTCTCTTTTCTTTGGTTATTGCCTTTTTTTAGGCAGCAATAAACTTTTTTTTTTTTTTATAAATTTTTTTTTTTTTTTATTTACAATAGTCATACAGAGAGAGAGAGAGGCAGAGACACAGGCAGAGGGAGAAGCAGGCTCCATGCACCGGGAGCCTGACGTGGGATTCGATCCCGGGTCTCCAGGATCGCGCCCTGGGCCAAAGGCAGGCGCCAAACCGCTGTGCCACCCAGGGATCCCAGCAATAAACTTTTATGTGTACTTTGATCATGTTTTCTTTCCATATCTCTTACAACATCCTCCAAGATTGATTGATTGATTTCCAGAGGCTAGTTCTTCCATCCCTAACTCACAGTACAGGAAATAGGAACAGGAGGTAAAAGAGTTTGCCTAAGGGCATGCATACATAGTCCATTAATAAACATGAGAGAAGCATTCAGCCTCACCAGTACTCAAACAAATTCATATTAAAGTGGGTCTCCATTTTTCCCTACTAAATTATCATGAGACAGTATAGCTTAAATGAAAGCACCAATGCTAGAAGCAGACTTGCTGTGGTAAAATTCCCATCTCTGCTCATTTTCTAGCTGTGTTCCCTTGGATAGGTTTTAACCTCTCTTTGCCTCCCTCTTCTACATTGGTAAAAGGAATATAATAATAGCACCTACCTCCTAAGGTTGATATGAGGATTCAATGAAATATGTATGTTAAAGCACTTAGAATAGTGCATGGCATATAGTGCTGTAAGCCTATTTATTATTAGAAAAAAAAAACCCCAGTGTATTAGTTTGCTGTGAGTGTCATATCAAAGTACCATACACTGGGTAGCTTAAATGACAAAAATATATTGTTTCTCAGTTCTGGAGAGTTGAAGTCCAAAATTAAAGCGTTGACAGGGTTGACTCGACCTTAGTTAGGGCTGTGAGACAAAGATCTGTTCAAGCCTCCCTCATAGGCTTGTAGATAGCCATGTTCATGTTTACGCGATGTTCTCCCTATATCTTCACATCAGCTTCCTTCAGTGCATTGTCTGTGCCCAAATTTCTTCATCTTATCAGGATACCAGTGGAACTGGATTAGAGTGCAGGCTAATGACCTTATTTTAATGTGATTAATTTTTAAATTGCAATCTCCAAATAAGGTCATATTCTGATGTACTGGGGTTAGGACTTTAGCATATGAATTTGGATGTTTACACAATTCAATCAATAACAAACAGTAACAAAAAAAATAACAAACAGTAGCAAATAACATTTTAGTTTTGAGAGGTATTCACATACTATTGATGGCATTGTAAATTGACTCATTCTTCTTGGAAAACAATGTAGAGATAGATATCCAGATATGTTTTATGAGATTTAAAATATTCATATATTTTTGTTCATGAATTTATTATGCTCCTGGAATCTAGTCCATAAAATAATCTAAAATACACAAAAAAGTCCTATCATATAATACTGATTATAGCATTGCTTATAATCACATAAAAAAAATGAAGCAATCTTTATGTCTAACAGGAAATGTTTACATTGACTTGAATGAAAAAGTCTATAATTTCTACAAATTATAATTTTTATAATTGTATATACATAATTTATATATTTTCTTGCTAATAGAGTGGTGCATTGAATATCCTCATACATATCTTCATATGCACATAGGTAAGGTTTTCTCTAAAGTATGTATCTAGAAAAGAAATTACTATGTGTTAGAATATGCACATCTTCAACTTTTACAGTATTACTACATTGCTCTCCAGAGTGATTGTCCTAGTTTATTATATCACTCTCAGATTTTATAAATGTTTCATTTTGCTTTTTTAGGCTTTAATATAACTGCAGGGGTTGACGAAGAAACAGGATTTGTTTATGGAGGAAATCGCTTAAACTGTGGCACATGGATGGATAAAATGGGAGAAAGTGATAGAGCTAGAAACAGAGGAATCCCAGCCACTCCAAGGTAGGCTTTATTTGTATGGTGCTTATATAGTAATACCCTTTTTAAAATCACATACTTGTGGAGTCTTTTATTCTATTAACCATGAAACCTTCGTATCAATTCAGTCAAATCTGGGGCATCGGAATGGTTCAGTCAGTTATGCGTCCAACTCTTGTTTTAGGCTCAGTTTATGATCTCCTGAGTGGTAAATTGAGCCTGGAATTGAGCCCCATGCTCAGCGTCAAGTTGACTTGAGATTCTCTGTCTCTGCCCTTCCTCCTTGCCATGTGTGCACACATGCACTCTTTCTCAAATAATCTTTTTTTTAAAAAAAATCAGTCAGAATCTCCCTTCCTCCCTCCTACTTCCTCTTCCACTCACTCCTTCCTTTCCCACAATATACATATACACAACTGTCTTGTTACAAGTCATTGAGTAAAGCTGTCTGTTCTTTTCTAGAAGTTCTCATGAGATGATTCTCTGCAAGCACCTCAAGGGAAGGTTTTATGATTCATTATCCCTGTTGTTAAGATCTTTTCTTAACCTGAAATGCTTTTATTGTAAACATTTCATTATGTTCATCGATTGTAAATACAGAAAATACCCAATTATTCTGTTCTTTATGAAATACTTTTAATTTCTGAACCTTTTCCCCCTAATTATTTTCTTTTGTCCCATCATTTCTTTTTATGGTTTCAAATGCTTAATACTTCGTAACAAGTCTAGGGGTGCCTGGGTCTCTCAGTTGGTTAAGAATCTGACTCTACATATTAGCTCAGGTCTTGATCTCAAGGTCATAAGTTCAAGCCCCACGTGGGGCTCCATGATGAGTGTGGAGCCTACTTTAAAAAAGATAAAAATTAAATTTAAAATTTTTTTTAAAAAGGCAGTATCAAGTCTAAGAAACTTTTTTCTTATTCTAAATTTTATCTTCAAAATAGTTAAAGGGATTATAAGGGAAAGGTGGGGAAATGAATGGGGAAAAATTAGAGAGGGAAACAAACCATGAAAGACTCCTAACTCTGGGAAACAAAGGGTTGCAGAAGGGGTAACTGGGTGACAGGCATTAAGGAGGGCACTTATTGGGATGTGCACTGGGTGTTATACTATATGTTGGCAAATTGAATCTAAATTTTAAAAAATAAATAATTTTTTTTAAATCAAGAGTCAGATACTTAACCAACTGAAAACAAAAACAAATTTTATCTTCAGTCAGAATTATCAAGAAAAAAATCATTTAATCATAGCTGTTGTTACATGCTTTGCAAATTCTTTTTAAAACATGTTTATTTTGGTACATTATTAGGTCTTCTTGTACTTCCCTTCCATTTTCCTTAAAAATGGGCTTTGAAATTGTTATGTATACCTTCCCTAGCTTTCTTCAGTCCCATATCCCATGTTTACCATCTTTTCTCTGGTACTCTGTTTGAATATTCTCCAATTCTTTACCCCTGCCTTTTCCAGCTGCCATCTCCTTTAACTCTGTAATCACCATTCCACTCCATAGAACTTTTTTTTTTCATAGAACTTTTTTTAAGTGTTGAGAAGGTACGCAATGGTAAAATAGTAATAGGAGAGCCTTCTTATATGTGCATTTCTTATATACATTTCAATAAAGTGAGTGGTTTTTCATAGATGGTTGTTTTTATAAATCATCAGAATTGTTTATTGAATGCCCTGTGAGTAGTGCTTAAGTGACTCCAACTTACAGAATAAAGTTTCTTTTAATTTTAGAGATGGGTCTGCTGTGGAAATTGTGGGCCTGAGTAAATCTACTGTCCGCTGGTTGCTGGAATTAACCAAAAAAAGAATTTTCCCTTATCATGAAGTCAGAGTAAAAAGACATGGTAAGCTGTTCATTTTATTTAAAAACAACAAAAAAAAAAACTTTGAATATGCTGTCTGTACTCCTAACCTACCTAATTGTTATTTGACTGAGTGAACTAATATTAGAAAACCCTCAAGATTAAGAAGAAAGAAAAAACGTTAGTTTACTCATATAAAGTTGTAACAAAACTGGTTACTAACCATATTTTTGCAACAGCTTTGAACTGAGATATGAAAAGCATCATAGTTATTGCCTTATTGTGCTTTTCTTTGCCCTTAATGTGACTGTGAGCAAGTTGCATTTTTGTGAACACTTATGAAATCTTTAGATCTTTTTTTTAGAACTGTGCTATCCAATAGAAATATAATTTGAGCCACATATATAATTTTTAAGCCACATATATAATTTTAAATTTTCTAATACTTACATTGAAAAAAGTAAAAAAGGGCAGCCAGGGTGGCTCAGCGGTTTAGCGCTGCCTTTAGCCTAGGGTGTGATCCTGGAGACCTGGGATCGAGTCCCACGTCGGGCTCCGTGCATGGAGCCTGCTTCTCCCTCTGCCTGTGTCTCTGCCTCTCTCTTTCTGTGTCTCTCATGGATAAATAAATAAAATCAAAAAAAAAAAAAAAGAAAGAAGAAAGAAAAAAAGAAAGAAAGAAAGAAAGAAAAGAAAAAGGTGAAATTAATTATATTTTATTAACTCAGTATATGCCAGATGTTATTTCAACATATAATCAGCATTAAATTATTCATGAGATATTTTACATTCTTTTGTGAGAGGAATATTTTCTTTGAAATTCAGTATATATTTTACACTTCTGGCACTTCTCAATTCAGACTAGCCTCATTTCAAGTGCACAATAAACATAACTTTATCGAACATGTAAGAGTGATACAAAGACCAATCAAGGATCATTTGCTAGAGTCTAACCCTTTCTGATAATATAATGAAAGATGATCTTTTTATTTCAGGCTGGTGTCCTTTAAAAAACCCTGACATTTTCAAGAAGTGGATAATTTATTGCCTAAATATTACTCTTTGGCTATAAGTAAATATGTGAATTTCCTTGAATGCTTAAAACTGCCAAGTCTTTTATCATGTTTCAGGAAAGGTTGTGACAATCTCATATGATGAGTGGAACAAAAAAATACAAGACAACTTTGAAAAGCTATTTCATGTGTCAGAAGACCCTTCAGATTTTAATGAAAAGCATCCTAACCTGGTTCACAAGCGTGGCATATACAAAGATAGTTATGGAGCTTCCAGCCCTTGGTGTGACTATCAGCTCAGGCCTAATTTTACCATAGCAATGGTTGTGGTAAGTGAATTGTTATTTACAAATTTCAAAAATGTTGTGATGGAGTGTATTTAGTTCTTTATTCCCATTTGTTTTCAAATTCATTTAGTTGCCAAAAAGCATATTGCTTACTAGCTAGTTCAATATAGTCTTTTTAAATTAATAAAGCTTTATGCATACCACCCTTAACCTACAACATCCAGTATCAAAAAACAGAAAATAATAGATGACGACTAATGAAGTGCTTCCCAACACTTTTCATATCATAGCACACATAGAAAAGAAAGATATTTGTACAGCACACTGAACTAACTGAAGTAGATTGGTTGTGTCAGATTGAACCTGCTTCACTTAGCCCCAGGCCCTGCCCCACTGCTTTGAAAGCTGATGGCATGGCTATTTTAGCACACCTGTGCTATGACCAGTACCTCAACCCACTGGTTGGAAAGATCTAGACTGTTGAACTAATGTGAGTAGCTTCTAACTTATATTCTACTTCCTTCATTGTATTGCTATAATGCATCTATCCAGCCAAGAATTCTAGACTCCTTTTATCTCTACTTAGTCTAAAAATAAACTAGAAGGACAGTAAAATAGAGATGGCATGCATGTACTCTTCCGTGCCTGCTTAGCTGTTTCTACCTTGTCAAAAAGAGAAGTAAACATGGTACTATAAATAGTAGAATAAAAAAATCCAAAGGCATGTAAAGTTAGCTTCTGTTCAGTATGCAAAGACTATACTTTCAAGGATCATTTCTATAGTTTGTTACTCTTCAGTATGCATTGGATTTCATTTAACCATTAAAATTAATGCAGATTCTTAACCACCAGTGCTTTCTCTCCTTCTCCATATCAGAAGTAAATTTACTCATGCTGTTAGAGTACAAGATTCTGTATTTTACAATGATCCCAATAGCAAAAAAATGACTACCAGATACATTTAAATTAGGAAGCTATTGTAGGGATGCTTGGGTGGCTCAGTGGTTAAGCATCTGCCTTCAGCTCAGGTCATGATCCCAGGGTCCCGTGGGGAACTTCTCCCTCTGCCTATGTCTCTGCCTCTCTGTGTGTCTCTCGTGAATAAATCTTTTTTTTTTTTAAAGGAAGCTACTGTAAATCTTCTGAAAAATGAATTAGATGGGTTTAAGTGTGCTCTGCTTCATTGTAGCTGTGGCAACTTCTTTTTGGAGCTTGAACGCTTTGTTAAAATGACACAAGGAAGCAATCACCTCTAACAGCTTTCTTAACTCCTAAAGCCAAGAACAGTGCTTCCAGGTCAGCCCCATAGCATTAGGTCTGGTTAGGCATCTGCACTCGAAAACAAATTCTGACCCACACTATCTTTAAACAGTTTTCATTTCCAAGTTTATGAATAGTTTATGTTCCACTGTGGGTAGAAACTAATTCTTTTGTGATCTTTAAAAGTTTGAATATTTGTTTTTGACATTCGTTAGGCCCCTGAGCTCTTTACTGCAGAGAAAGCCTGGAAAGCTCTGGAGATTGCAGAAAAAAAGCTGCTTGGTCCCCTTGGCATGAAAACTTTGGATCCAGAGTAAGTTAGAATATAAGTATTAAGAATGTTGTTCATATGGTATTTGATATATAATTCTATTTAATTATATTTAATCTTGGCATGAAAACTTTTGACTAGAGTAAATTGGAGTACAAATATTAAAAATGTTGTTGATATTGTATTGCATCAGTCATAATTTTTTGCTTGTCAGTAAACTCTCTAAAATTATGTCAGAGTTTTTAAAAATACCAGCTGTATGTTCATTAAATATCAGTGTTCATAATGCTTGTCCTTTATTTAGTAATCAAGAAGAGTTTTAAGCTTATAAAACTAATGTTATGAATATTTCCTAATGCTTATTTTTTTCTGATTGTAAAAATAATACATGATTATGGGCATTGGAAGTGTAGACATAATTGTCTTCTCAGAGACAGTCCATATTTTCCAAGTTGTTAACTCCTAGTCATTCTCTCCCTCTTTCTAAATACTATATGTATGCAGCTGTTATTAGACATTATTTGGTTATTTCTTTGAAGATGTAACTCTTTTCTCACCTAACCATTAATCATTTCCATACTTTCTATATAATTACCCCACTATTTTTATTTAAACCAATAACTGATTTTGTTTTTATTTTATCATTTTGCCATTTTAATTTCTTTCCCAACTTTTGTTTTTTCTTGAGTTTCTAATGACCTTCCTGTTTATCTTCTGCTGTATTCTTTTAAAGCTTGATGCTCAACATTAAGTTGCTTTCTATATCAATCTATAGACCCTCTTTTCTATATTGTGCCCCCACCTTTGTAGAATTTTCCTAATTTACTGTATACTCATTTCAGTCTTGAGATGCAAACTTTTTGTGTGTATACTTATCCGCATTTGGAGGTGTTCTCCAGAATTTTCAGAAGCATTAGGAACCACTAGTCAAAACTAAAACCCACAGTTAAGGCTTACTCATGTGGCAAGTTCTGTCTCTCACTAAAAGAAAAAAAGAAAAGTAATAATTTCATTAAACTGACCAACAACTGTCTTCAATTATCTGTCACAATAAGTTTGTAATACATTGTTTAGTTTATAAGTGTGTATAAATATTCTATGTCTATTTGGTTGGTACTTATAATCTGATAAATACCAATTGTAATTAATTTTAAAGTAACTTCATGGAGAAGTTTCAAAAGCAACCTTTCTAACATATAATAATAAAACTATATCTTTAATGTTTACTAATTCAAATTATGTGTATTTTAGTCATTAATATATTAGAAGCTTAGTGAGATAATTGGCTTTAACCAATATTTAGTGTCAGACTAACTCCTTGAAGGCAAGATACCTGAATGCTTTATATTTCTCAGTATCAGCCAGTAACTATTTGTTAATTATTTCCTAACATGTTGTTAAAGTATTCTGGAGGTGGCTGGCTGGCTCAATCAGTAGAACATGTGACTCGATCTGAGGGTCATGAGTTCAAGCCCCACACTGAGCCTAGAGTTTACTTATTAATTAATTAATTTTTAAGACAGGTTGTAAAAAAAAATTCTGAATCCAGTATATACTAATTTATGGTTAAATAGTTAATGAGCTTGCTTATTCTATAGACTTGGAAGACAAAATTATTTGATTATTTCTCTTACTTTTGCTATTGAAAAATCTTTCTAATGCCTCTTATGTAATATTTGATCTTTTTCTAACCTAAATTTCAATCATTTTGCAGTGATATGGTTTATTGTGGAATTTATGACAATGCCTTAGACAATGACAACTACAATCTTGCTAAAGGTTTCAATTATCACCAAGGACCTGTAAGAATTTCGTTTCTCTTTTCAGAGTTTTCAGTTGAAATTATTTTCCAAATAACTTCATAAATATTCACAGCTCTTTTTTTTCCTTTACTTTTAAATCCTCTTTTTTAGGAGTGGCTGTGGCCCGTTGGGTATTTTCTTCGTGCAAAATTATATTTTTCTAAATTGATGGGTCCAGAGGCCAATGCCAAGACTGTGTTTTTGGTTAAAAACATTCTTTCCCGACATTATGTTCATCTTGAGAGGTAAGGCGTCAGGGGGCATGTAATTTTCATCTAGTGTTTAGTCAGTTTATTAAATATTAGGTAAATAACAGTTCCTTAAAATTCATTCTTATATACTCTAGGTATCTCAATGAAATTTGAAAACTTTACTCTTATTTTTTTAACTTTACTCTTATTTAACATGACAAGTTCAATGATATAATTTTCATCTTCCTTTAACTATTTTAGGTTATTTATCTTAATTTAAGGACATGATATTATATAATTTACACATGTGGAATAGTCTTTGATTTTTTAAATATAGTGGATATTTTGGGGTATGCTTAAAACAGAAGAAATATAAAAACTAAAAGTACTTAGGCTGGGCCTTTTGAGTTAACTGATTTAAAGACTTATGTGGTTGCCAGAGGGGAAACAGATTTTGCTTCATTTACTTTGAAAGCTATTATAAGATGCAGAAGTTTTAGGATTATTATGTTCTTTTCATGAACTGACCCTCTTATCATTATGAAATGACCTTCTTTATCACTGGCAATGTATCTTTGCTTCAGAATTCACTTTGATAGGGCAGCCCAGGTGGCCCACCGGTTTAGCGCCACCTTTAGCCGTGGGTGTGATCCTGGAGACCCGGGATCGAGTCCCACATCAGGCTCCCTGCATGGAGCCTGGTTCTTCCTCTGCTTGTGTCTCTCTGCCTCTCTCTCTCTCTGTGTCTGTCATGAATAAATAAATAAAATCTTTAAAAAAAAAAAAAAGAATTCACTTTGATAGTAATATAAGCATGTCAGGTTTCTTTTGATTAGTTTTTACCACACTATATATTTTTTCATCCTTTACTTTTAACCTACTTGTGTCTTTATGTTTAAGGTAGGTTTCTTGTACATAGAAGCATGTAATGAGGACTTGCTTTTTTATGCAGCTTGATAATTTCTGACTTTTATTTGGAAAGTTCAGGCCATTTATACTTAATGTGATTATTTATATGATTAAGTAGAAATCTGTTTTCTGTTTATTCTGGGTTTTGTTAGCTTTTTCCTCTTTTTCTGCTTCTTTTGGACTGGATTTTTTTTTTTTAAGATTTTTTTATTTACTTATTCATGGAAGACACAGAGAGAAGGCAGAGACATAGGCAGAGGGAGAAGCAGGCTCCCTGCTGGGAGCCTGATGTGGGACTCCATCCTGGGACTCCAGGATCACGCCCTGAGCCGAAGGCAGATGCTCAACTGCTGAGCTACCCATGGGTCCCTGGATATTTATTATTTGGCGTATATTTACCCCGTTTTATCTCCTTTGTTGGCAAATTAGCTCCTTTTTTAAATTGTTGCTTTAGGTTTATAATTTATCATAGTTTACCCTCCAGTATACCTTCAAGTATAGTATAATAATCTTAAAATAGTATAGTTCCATTTTCCCTTTTGTGCTATTATTGTCATCTATTTTGCTTCACAAACATTATAGCCCCGCACAACATTGTTACTATTTTTGTTTTGCCATCAGTTATTTTTTTTAGATATTTAAATAATACAGAAAAAAGTCTTATGCAACTACTCACATAGTTGCCATTTCCAGTGTTCCTCTGTGTGTGAATATCTATTTCCATCTGGTATCATTTTCTTTTGCCTAAGGGATTCCTCTATAATGTCTTACAGTGCAAGCCTACTCTTGATAAATTCTTTAAGGTCTTATATGTCAGCAAAGTCTTTATTTTGCCTTCATTTTTGAAAGTTATTTTTGTTGTGCAGAGAATTCAATGTTAACAAGTTTTTTCTTTCAGTGCATTGAAGTGTGGCATTGTTTTGACAGTAAATCTGCTATCATCCTTACTCATCCTTACTCTCTAATGTTCCACTAATTCCATTAAGTAAATTTTTCATTTTACACATTGTTTTCATCTCTTGAAGTTTGATTGTGGTCTTTTTTATATCTTCCGTGTCTCTGTTGAATATTTTGAACATATGGAATACGGTTACAGTAACTATTTTAATGTCTTTGCTAATTGGTATCTGGGTTGATTTCATTTATGATGATTCCCTTCTTATGGATTGTTTTATCCTGTTCTTTACCTGTGTTTTGGTATCAGCTTTTTTTGTATTTCTATAAATATTCTTGGACTTTGTTTTGCAATGCAGTTATTTGCAAACAGTTTGATCCTTTCAGATTTTGATTTTAAGCTTTGTTGGGCCTGACCCAGAGCAGGATTTAGTCTAGAGCTAATTATTCTCCACTAATGAGTCATGGCCTGAGTTCTCTTTTCCATATCCCTAAAATTATGAAGTTTTCAAACCTGGCTGGTAGAAATGAGCACTGTTCCTGACCCATTGTAAATGTCAGGTACGAGTTTAATTCTTCAGGTAGTTCTTTCCCCATCCTTCATTAGTTTACTCTTGTGTATTGACTGATCGATAGGCGAATAGTTGAGTGGGACCTTCTGCATATCTCCAGAGTTCTCTCCTTTTTTGTACTCTGTCCTGAAAATTCTAGCAGCCTTGGTCTTCCTGGACCATCTGTTCCATTTCTTCAACTCCAGGAGTCTGCCAGGCTCTACCCTTTCCCTTTCCCGTGTCAGATCCTGGAAACTCTTCGAGCCAGTAAGGTATGGTAGTTACAGGGTTCCTTGCATTTTCTTCTCATTTCTTAGGGATCATTTGTTGCCTAATATCCAGCATCTTGAAGATTATTGCTTCATTCTCCTTGTCCATTGTTTCAGGCGCAAGAGAGCTTCTGTCTGCATTATTCCATGTTTGTCAGAAGTGGAAGACCTTTGCTTTCTGGCCTAATAAGATGTTTTAAGCTCATATCTTACTTTTCTTGCCCTAGCCTAGGTGGGCAGTTCTCTGTCCCTGGTTTGTTTACTTTTTGTGTTTGTGAAGAATCTTATTTAAAAGCCCAGATCCAGGGACACTTGGCTGGCTCAGGCAATAGAGCATGTGACTCTTGATCTCAGGGTTGTGAGTCCAAGCCCCATACTGGGTGTAGAGATTACTCTAAAAAATAAATTCTAGGGGTGCCTGGGTGGCTCAGCAGTTGAGCGCCTGCCTTCAGCTCAGGGCATGGTCCCGGGGTCCTGGGATCGAGTCCTGCGTCGGGCTCCCTGCATGGAGCCTGCTTCTCCCTCTGCCCGTGTCTCTACCTCTCTCTCTATGTCTCGTGAATAAACAAAATCTTTAAAAAATAATAATAATAAATTATTTAAAAAGAAATGAATACATGCATGCATATATACATACATTAAAAAAAAACAGATCTAAATACTTGGCATATTTATTGCTCTTGGGGAATTATTGTTACTGTGCCTTCCAGCAGATAAAGCTAGGAAATATATATAATACATACACAGAGAGAGAGAGAGATCTATATCTCTGGGTACTTTTTTATCTCTCTATGTTGAAAACCTACATCCACACCAGTTCCACTCAATGTTTAATTTTGTTTTTTAGCTTTTCATGTTTGTAATTCCCTTTTCCAACAGTGAGTAAGCTACTCCCCACACTCTGCTATCATTACCGGATAGACTGAACTCACCCTATTCAGGCTCTGACACCCCATGCCAGGGTGCCCCAAGGCATAGATGACCTCTTCACCCTTCCTGGGCATGACAGCCCCACACTAGGTCACACTTATGTGTGGATTCCCTCCTTGTACCACTTGGGTTCTGGGACACCCCCACCCTTGGTGTGAACTCTCTTCATAGCCCTCAGGCTGTGGCATCCCACCTTGTGCTATTCCTTCTACCCTTCTTTCCTCTCCTCCCCAACTATGGTCACCAACCTTCTTTGTCCCACCTAATGACTTGAGGAGTGAATTTTTCGGAAAGTAAGGGAAAGATTTCTTTCTACCAGTATGGATATGTTCCCATGTTCTAGTTCCACATACAATTATGAGCAGCATATCATTGGTTCCGTAAGTTTGTTTTGTCCCTTAATTTCAGTACTATGTTAGTTTGCTAGAACTGCCATACAAAGCACTATAAACTGAACAGTTTAAATATGGTCTTATTGTCTCACAGTTCTAGAGGACAGAAATTTGAAATCAAAGTGTTGGCAGGGCCATGCTCCCTCTGACGATACTAGGGAAGGATCTCTCCCAGCCCTTCTCCTAGCTTCTGATAATCCCTTGACTTGTGACAGCGTAAGTCCAGTCTTCACATGGCTTTCTCCCTGTGTGCATTTCTGTGACCAAATTTCCCCATTTTATAAAGACACCAGTCATATTGGATTATGGTCCCATGCTATTCCAGTGTGACCTCATCATAACTAATTATATCTATAACAACCTTATATCCAAGTAAGTTAACATTCTAAGGTACTGAGGGTTAGGACTTTAACATATGGATTTTGAGAGAGACACAATTCAACTGATTACGATACCCTGGTACCCAACTTCAGTAATTTGGCGTTTTACTCTGTGAAGTAGCATGAACACTTGGAAGGAAGTTTTCTATTTTCTATTTCCCTGTGACAGCTTTTTAAATGTGGTAACTAGCTGGTATTCTTATTAGTTATTATCTAAAATCTCGTATTTACCTAAGGGAATTATCTTTTTCATTTAATTATAAAATATTTAATACCTGCAGAAGAGTAAAATGTAACATATACTCTCCCTAGAGCCATGAGTTACAAAGCATAATGGTGAAACACATTCCCATAACCCAACTTTAAAAAGGAGACATTCCAGGATTTCTGAACTTTATGTTTCATACTTAAGAGATTATACTGAAAGTAAGAATAGATTTGATAACAACACTGTGTTCTGATAGTGAGACCTGGGACAAGTTGTTAACCTCGTAAACCTCTTACTGCTCTATGAATAGGAACGATTATGGCACTTATATTACAGGGTTACTATAAGCATAAATGAGATAATGTAAATAAATCATTAAGTATTAGAATATAATAAATGCACAATAAACACTGTGTAATTATTCGGTAGAATGAGAGATTACTATAGAAATTCAGATTGTGGGATCCCTGGGTGGCTCAACGGTTTGGCGCCTGCCTTTGGCCCAGGGTGTGATCCTGGAGACCCAGGATCGAGTCCCATGTCAGGCTCCCTGCATGGAGCCTGCTTCTCCCTCTGCCCCCCCCTCCAAATAAATAAATAAATAAATAAATAAATAAATAAAGATTAAAAAGAAAGAAATTCATATTGTTTTTAATTGGCATTGCTTTCCTAATTTTCATTATTCTATGTTAGTTTTACAATTTTATCAAAATCAAATGTAATACGTCTACATAATTACAATTTGAGCTTCATAAACTTCATGTGAAAGTAATAAAATTAGACCTGAGAAGATAATTGTCTCTCTATATATTGCTTGGCATGGTAGTTTCTTCTAGGTTTTGGGGTTTTTTTTTGAGAGAATCTTTTTTTTCTTTTTAAGATTGATTGATTTTTATTTATTTATTTATGACACAGAGAGAAAGTCAGAGACACAGGCAGAGGGAGAAGCAGCAGGCATAGGGAGAAGCAGGCTCAATGCAGAGAGCCATATGTGGGACTCCATTCCAGGACTCCAGGATCATGCCCCCAGCTGAAGGCAGAGGTTCAACAACTGAGCCACCCAGGCATCCCTTCTTTTTGTTTGGGTTTTTTTTTAAGATTTTATTTAGTCATTCATGAGAAACAGAGAGAGAGAAAGAGGCAGAGACACAGGCAGAGGGACATGCAGGGAGCCCAACATGGGACTCGATCCTGGGTCTCCAGGATCATGCCCTGGGCCAGAGGTGTCGCTAAACCTCTGATCCACCCAGGCTGCCCTCTTCTGTTTTTAATACATAAAAGGAATCTACTGTGTTTCAAAGTCTTAAATTCCAAAGATTGAATATCCAAGAATAATTTCTGTCTAAATTCTTTATATACATAGATCTTTAGGATATCTTGTTTTATTTTGTAGCAAATAGCTATATATGATTGTTTTTCTATACTAGAAGGAAAAAATGCCAAGTGTATTGCCTATTTTGTTAATCCAAACAAGATACGTGTTATATTGTATCTCATAAAATGTCTTTTCTTTTTTTTTTAAGATCCCCTTGGAAAGGACTTCCTGAACTGACCAATGAGAATGGCCAATACTGTCCTTTCAGCTGTGAAACACAAGCCTGGTCAATCGCTACTGTTCTTGAAACACTCTATGACTTATAGTTGATTCATGAATATGTATTAAGTATACAATCACTTATATTATGGAATGCAAGGTCAAAATATAATGTAAATGCTTTATATGCACAGACTTGAGTCATTTTAAAAATCTCATTCATATGATATTGATGCCCAATTAGGTAACACTTTAAAAGCATTTTTGTTGTTTTTTTTTTTCTTTAATGGACAGAGGTAGCTTTTGATTTGAATCAGAAAGAAAAACTATCATTACCAATAGGATATTTTTCTTTTGAATTCAGGAAGTATTCTTGAAATGCCTAGAAATTAAGAATTTGAAATCCAGAGATTAAAAAATAAAAATCATGTAATCTACTGTACATAAGTGAAAATGAAATATGAGAATGTAATAATGAATGAAATGGAAAAGTATCCTTAAATCTTGGTATTTTATTTTCTTTAGTAAAAATACATACTGAATATACTGTAGTTAACAAATGTTCTTACCTTTTAGTATATTATTACTAGCACCTCCCACACAGCATTTGATAAATACTAAATATTGAATCACGGAAGTGTCTATCTACAATGTTATATTCAGAAATGGAGCACAGATGTTCATTGTGTGCTTTTACTTCACTAATATATTAATGTGTGGTGGGTATTTAATATTAATATTTTAATTATATTTTAATATTTGCCATAATTTGCTTATGTTAGTGATGCATACGTAGGATATATGAAAAAACACAAACATTTAAGAATTTTATTTCCTAAAAACTGTTTTATAAGATTATAAAATTAATCTTGAGGTCCTATTTCCTACTATGAGATGATTTACATTCTCAAAATGTACATTGTTGGTCAAAGAAAAACATGCTATATTAATTTTCTAAAACTTATTTTTAGTTTGTTTGTAAAAGCATATTGATGGATCATAGTAGATGCTAGTTTCCTATTATCTAAAACCTACATTGACAAGCTTAGCATTGAGAACAATCTTAATATAATAAAAATACATGAATTTAGTAGTTATCTTGAATTCGATAGAGTAATTTAAAATTTTTCTCATGACCTTAATTCTGCAAAGTCATAAAAAGAAAAAGGTTTTTAACCTTTATATGAGTTAATATTTTTGAATAATACTTCAGATGGAATTTTTTATTGTTTTACTGTTTTTGTCTCAAGAAGACACCTATATAAAATCATTATACTTCTGGTTGAAAGAAAGTAGTTGTAAAAACCCTTTCATTGCTTTTTAATATTATTCAGTGGTGTATTTATAGTTAATGAAATAATGGTACAGTAACACTTTTTTCAATTAAAAGTCACATACCCAACCATTTTAAGAAATAAAAATAAGAAAAAGAAGTAAATTAAAACTTCTAGGTAGCAAAAATATGTGATGTTTTATTTATTTAAGATATTCGTACACTCAAAAGCTCATGCAAATTAATGTGTCCTATACACCCTTCTTCAACGCTGACTTTAGAAATAGTTTTAACTAGCGTACTTTTTTGGTTTCCCATTATAAAGCAGATTAAATCCTACAAATTTAAGGGCAGTTATGATAGTAATATGATCACTATCTATAAACTCACTGGCTTCCAAGTGTCCCTTCCTTCTTCATTGTTCAATGTATACACTTCTCTAACTTATGCAGTTACAAGGAATAACCTTCCTTGAAAGAGAGAACCATTAGTCATCAAAGGTTTATGCAGTTATGTTGCTCTACCGTACTTTCTTTTATTAAAGGTGGTAAAAATAACTGAAAACCAGTGTATTTAATGAAGAAAGCAAGTGATAGCTGATAGTTAAATGGGATGAATGATTGGATGGATGGATAGATAGATAATGAGAATTTCTAAAACATAGCCATATTGGATTGTAGGGCAATTACCCATCTCAGTAATTTTTAAGGGTATCATGTTGTACTAGAAAATTAAGTGGTTGATATTCCAATAAGGAATATTAGGGAAAGAACATTGTGATTATCTGCATGGTCTATTTTAAAGTTTAAGAAGGCATGTTAGACTTATTTCATCACAGGTAGTTAAAATAACAGTTTTAGACTTTAGAGGGATAAACGTCATATGACTAAAGAACATTTAAATAGAATGCTTCATTCCTGAGTGATGTTGGATGAGGTACCATTGTATTACATTTTGATGATGGTTCTGTGCCTTGGTTCTTTGCTAATCCAAATCAATCTGACTCTTTAACATGAAAAGTTTGCCAGTATAATCAATATGCTGTGATAATTTAGTAAGTTTCAGAGAGGAAACATGAGATCTGCCATCATATCTGTGGACATTATAACCTAGTAAATTGTAATCCATTTCCAATATGTCTTCAACTGCTATATCTAGTAAGAAAATGTCATTTTTCTGTCTGTGTGCCAAGAAAATAAAAATCTTTTCTAAAGGACCGTATTTTATTTCATTCCATTATTTACCAATTAACTAAATTGTTGACCATTACCATTTATTCAGGGCTTGCTTATTTTGGGTACTTTTTTTTTGCAGGATGTGAGGGGGCAGAAAGGAAGAGGAAGAATTTTAGGCTGTTTGGTAATTTATTTAATTAGCCATATTGAAATTAGGAGCAAAATAAACTTGATGTATAATTAAATCTGTTAGCAACTATATACTCACCTGGCATTTCTTGAAACCTTTTACTATACCATGAATTTTTTTTTTTTATCTTTTATTAACTTGCTAAGGGCAAATACTACAGGCCAGAACAGATGTGATATAGATGTGTGCCTCCTAAAAGTGGCCAGAAAGATTGTTTCATGTTTTTTTTTACTTTTATATTTTTTAAAGATTTTATTTATTTGTTTGTTTGTTTATTTATTTATTTATTCTGTGAATATTCTTTATTCACAGAGAGAGAGAGGCAGAGACACAGGCAGAGGGAGAAGTAGGCTCCATGCATGGAACCCGATGTGGGACTCGATCCTGAGTCTCCAGGATCACGCCCTGGGCTGAAGGCGGCCCTAAACCGCTCAGCCACCCGGGCTGCCCCATGTTTTTTTTTAAAGAAGGTTCATTTATTTATTTGAGAGAGAGAGATGAGTGGGGGGAGGGGGCGCAGAGGGAGAGGGAAAGAGAGAATTCAAGCTGACTTTCCACTGACCATGGAGCGCAAAGTGGGACTCAATCCCAGGACCCTGAGATCATGACCTAAGCTGGATGCTTAACCGACTGAGCTACGCAGGCACCCCATTTCACTTTTTCTTTTTGTCTCACTTTTAATTATAAAATAACATCAAATGACCCAAGTTGATCCATCTAGTCTTGCCTTTAATTACTGTTGGTTCATTTTTACTGCAGATACGTATCTTTTTTTTTTTAATTTTTATTTATTTATGATAGTCACACACACAGAGAGAGAGAGAGAGAGGCAGAGACATAGGCAGAGGGAGAAGCAGGCTCCATGCACCGGGAGCCCGACGCGGGATTTGATCCTGGGTCTCCAGGATCGCGCCCTGGGCCAAAGGCAGGCGCCAAACCGCTGCGCCACCCAGGGATCCCAACGTATCTTTATCTTCAGGTAAAAGGTGTAGTAACTTGGAAATCCAAATTTCTATCAGTTTTTATGAGTGAATTTGTCAAACTTGACAAAACTTATTTTTATAGATCCTCAATGTGCCAAAATAATAAACTCAAGCAGGTTGTTTAGTTTGCTTGTTTTTTCCATTTGTACAAGCCTAGAATTATTAATACTGATACTATATCATTTTGGCTACAATTTTCTTCTTAATATTTGCTTTGTTATCTTGTTTGGAGGTTTTTGGGGTTTTTTTTTTTTGGTTAGAGGTTTTTTGTTTAACTTACAAAAGCTAATTTCAGTCAAATCTTCAGATTTATCTTCATGAACTCTTCTATTTATTCAAAATTTAATCAGCCTCATTCAATAATAAGTTTTTCCTTCTGATTTTATATTTATGTGTTTTATACCAGGATCTAGAAATGAGGTGAGACATGACTTAGGTTTTTTCCAAACTGTTATATTCCAAACTCATGAATTGAATATGACATATATAGTGATTCCTTTTTATAATTATTTAATTTCTGGGATATATTAGTTATTTATGCCTATTTATTCATTTAACTATTATATCTTATTTTAATATTTTTAGAGCTATTTCTTACTAATTTCCTACTCTCCTTTTTTGAAATCCTGTTTTATATACCCCTCTTTGTTCTTCCTAAGTACTTTTACATATCCAAAAAGTATTCTCTTACTATTTTTACTAAAATTATATTCACAGTATGCGTTAATGTGATAAGAACTGACATTAACAATATTTCATCTCATCTAAAAATATAGGCTGTCTGCATTCAAAAAAATTTTAGCTTGCTAAAATTCTTCCTAATTTTTATGTTTTTGGTTGCTATTATGTATGTAATCCATTTTGGTTCAACTTAATAGCCAATTAGTTGGAATAAAAAAATTCAGACTTAATAAACATTTATGAACCCCTACCATATAATAGTCAATTTTATACTGAATGTATTATATTCATTTTATAAATGAGAACATTGATAAAGTGTCTTGCTCTACATCACACAACACAAATTACAAAACCAAGACTCAACCTCTGGTCTTGCTACAACAAATCATCTCTCTCTCAAAGATCTTCAAAATTGCAGTTTTCTGTTCTTGTCCTCACATTTCTTGCCATCATCCACCCATAGGTCAAGCATGGCTGTTATCAGTGTCATCTGATTACAGAAAACATTAGATCTTGTTCTGCTTAGATCTAGACATAACCCCCTATCACCTGGTCAGAATGCCGTGTCTGCAGCCATCTGCCTGAATAAGATGACTGATCTTTTTCTTGCTAAATATTCAGACCCCAAGTGCCAAGCATGGGTTAGGTGACATAATTTGGATACATTTAAAAATATAAATGTCCTATCAAAGTGAGGCAGTAAAGAGTCAGATAATGAGGATAAGAATGGTTGAGAGAGGGGAGCCTGGGTGGCTCATTTGGTTAAACATCTGCCTTTGGCTCAGGTCATGATCTCAGGGTACTGGTATGGAGCCCCACATGGGTGGGGGGGGGTGTCCCTGCTCAGCAGGGAGTATGCTTCTCCCTCTCCCTCTGTCTCTCCCCCTGCTTGTGCATGCCCCGCCTCTCTCTCCCTTTCATGAATATATTAAATCTTAAAAAAAAAAATTAAAAGAGATGACCAGCTGTGTTGTCAAAGTTGCTACCTGTGGATTTTGGTAAGAAGTCAGGATTCACCCCCAGGCATGGAGAATCCTAAAAGAAGCAAGTTATATCTATAGAAGTTCACTAACAGTTACGGCACTTCACTCTGCAGATGTTTACTGCTAATATTGATTGTAGCTGATAGATTTTGAAAGTGCAAAACTAAGCACTAAGTCTTCTTAGCCACTTTTTCTTATACAAAAAGATTCATGTTGATAGCACATCACATTTGATGGATCACAAAGTCTCACTTTACCTGACTAGGTTCTCTTCTATTACCTCTTTCTGTTCACACTCTTGTCTTGTCCTTAGACTAATATAATTATTCCTGAGTTGGTCACAACTTACTTCATCCCTCATAGAACTATGAGGAAAACCTCTCTTGAACACTGATTCTATCCCATCACTGCTCAGAGGACATTTGGAATCCCCTGTAATCTGGCCAAGTCTCTCTCCAGTGTTGGTATGACACTTGTTCTTTCCAAAGTTGATCAGTTGCCTGAGTTTTTGTTTCTTCAAAAACATCCTCTTGTTTGTAAAAACAAGAGGATGGTAATACCTACACTGTAGGGCAGTAAACATTCATGAAAGTGACCCATAGTATATCAGGATTAAGTCTGATGTTGTGATAGAACCCAAATAACAGCGGTCTAAGTGAGATTAGGGTGCAGAGGTGTGCAATCCAAGGCTGATGCACTGGTTTCATGGTCATCAGGACTAATGGACACAGAATATTCTTATCATTTCCCAGGTATAGTATTTTTAATGTGAACTCATTTCCCAGATGTGAGCAGAGATGTACAATAATGAACTCATTTATTTTAATCAGTGGTTTTTCCTCCAAATTAAAATTTTTTGACGTTCCAAAGCTAAATCTTGGGAAAACAAGAGCTCAACGTTTATATTGTCTAAACTCTGATGTGGGAAACAAAGGCAAAAGAAAAACTATTAAGTTTCCTTACTACTTACAGCCCATTGACAAGTCCTTGAAACAGGCAGAGCGACATTCCTCCAGGAACTCAGCTGCCTCAGTTTAATACCTGCTAAGGGCAAAAGGCAAATCTCAGCCTGACTCCCAGGATCCTGTAAGTCTAACATATAAAAACTCCTTTGGAAACCTCCTTTATCTCTACCCTCCAAGATAGATGTTGATAATCATCCCCCAAGCATATGGCCCACCGATACATATCTGAAGGGTCTCAAGCCTAAGGTTTTATTAGATGGTAATAAATGACCTTTTCCTAACAATAGCTAGCCCCCTCAAGGTCCTGGAAACTCTGTTTCCAAAATTCCTTAGAGATGTACTATCTCCCTGACTCCTTCTCAACTTGAAGATATATGATGACCACCCCTCATGACACCGGTGCAGCTCTTTATGCCCACAGATCCTGTCTCTGTGCTTTAATAAAACCACCGTTTTGCACCAAAGACATCTCAAGAATTCTTTCTTGGCCATCAGCTTCAAACCCCAATGTCTTTTCCTACAGTAAATTCATTGCAAGGACACCTGGTTGGCTCAGTAGTTGAGCGTCTGCCTTCGGCTCAGGTCATGATCCTGGGGTCCTGGGATCGAGGAGCCTGCTTCTCCTTCTTCCTCGGTCTCTGCCTCTCTCTGTGTGTGTCTCTAATGAATAAATAAATAAAATATTTTAAAATAATTTAAATGAATTAAAAAATTTAAATGAGTCTTTAAAATGTAAGTATAAAATTATGAATTATAAAATTTGTTCTTACTTTAACCAAGCCAGAAAATTTGCAATAATTTTTTTTAAGATTGTATTTATTTATTCATGAGAGATACACAGAGAGAAGCAGAGACACAGGCAGAAGGAGAAGCAGGATCCTCACAGGGAGCCCCATGTGGGACTCGATCCTGGATCCCGGATCACTCCCTGAGCTGAAGGCAGATGCTCAACCACTGAGCCACCCAGGTGTCCCTAATTCATTAAATTTTAAAGACATAGGTCCACTTACATGTGGATTTTTTTAGAGTACTGTATTTGCTCTTATGATTTTCTTAACAATTTTCTTTAGCTTACTTTATTGTAAGAATACAGTAGATAATAAGTATAACATACAAAATATGTGTTAATCAACTATTTGTTATTGGTGAGGCTGCCTGTCAACAATAGGCTATTAGTATTTAAAATATGGAAGAGCGGCGATCCCTGGGTGGCTCAGCGGTTTGGTGCCTGCCTTCAGC